GTTTCACCTGAGAAGTGTGGGGTCTAAATCCCAAGCTAGGCTCTCCAGACTACAGCGCCAGAGCTGGAAAGGAACCCAGATAACATCCAGCTGTCAAAGAAGCATGGTTTCTATCTGCCAGGGAGAGAAAGCTGCACACTCAGAGAGCCTCTTAAAGGGCCAACACACAAAATTTCATTTGCAGCCACTTCCCTGGGCTCTGGTAGAGAGAGGAAAGAGTAGGCTAGAGACACTTGAGAAGAGGCTGGGTTGGTGGATCTGGAGAGGGAACTGAAAGAACAGCTGCCAGGATCCCTGTGCTGAAGCATCCCATACTGCAGAAGCCACCTTTCTCAGGCAGAGCACTCCTCTCCGAATGGCATCAGCCTGAGGGGAAGCAATAGCCTGCCAACAGAAAGTACTTTGCCCCATCCTGTGGAGCTTAAGCCAGGCTGCTGATTACAGCTTGAGGCTATATCATTGATTATCTTAACGACTTCAGCAGATCTCTGGGAGCTGTATAAGACTTCAGCTGACCCTCACCTGGATGGGTGCTAGTTGGTCTTGGTGCACAGCCTGGTTCCTTCTGCACACAAACAGGCCTAGCAAGGGAGCCACACACTACAGATCACTGATAGCTTCAAACAGGTTGACCAGGGCCGGTCATAAGCAGCACCTGACAAAGGCCTCCACCAGAGTCTTTGCAGATCTACCAAATACATGGAAACAAATAAAAGAAGCAGCCAAAATTAGAAAACAGATAAACAGACCCAAATGAAAGAACAAGAAGTTCTCCAGAAGAAGAGCTAGATAAAATGGAGGCAAGCAATTTATCACATAGAGTTTAGAGTAATGATTATACGGCTACTCAGCAGAATAGAAAAATGACATAGAAACCATAAAAAAGGAACCAGTCAGAAGTAAAGAATGCAATATCTGAAATTGTTAATACATTGGAAGGAATAAAAAGAAAGTTAGATGAAGCAGAGGATCAAATCAATGATTTGAAAGACAAGGCAGAAAAAAAATTGAGGCAAAGAAGCACAAAGAAAAAAGAATTTTTTAAAAATGAGGAAAGCTCAAGAAACACTTTGGACGATGTGAAGCATAAAAACATCCACATCATGAGAATACCAGAAGGAGAGGAGAGCAAACAAGTGATCAAGAAACTATTTGAAGAAATACTAACCAAAAACTTCCCTAATCTGGTGAAGGAAGAAGACAAGCCCAGGAAGCTCAGAGAGTCCCAAACATTTGGACCCAAAAAGGCCTACACTAAGGCACATCATAATTAAAATGGCAAGACTTGAAGACATGGAGAGAATCCTAAAAGCCACAAGACAGAAGCAGGTAGTTACATACAAAGGAACACCAATTAGTCTGTCACCTGATTACTCATTAGAAACACCTCAGGCCAGAAGGGAATGGCATGAAATCTTCAAGGTGATGAAAGCAAGGACCTACAACCAAGGCAACTCTACTCAGCAAAGACATCATTTAAAATTGAAGGAGAAATAAGGAGCTTCCCAGACAAGAAAAATGTAAAGGAGTTTGTTAACAACAAATCAGTACTTCAGCAAATGTTAAAGGTCTTGCTTTAACGTGAAGAAGAAGAAGAAAAAAATAAAAAAGAGAGAGAAAAACAGTCTAACAATAAAATGGCACTAAACACATGTGTATCAATAATCACCTTACATGTAAATGGCTTAAATGCTCCAACCAAAAGATAGAATAGCAAAATGGATTGGAAAAAAACCATATATTTTATATATATATATATATATATATATATATATATATATGGCCTCTAAGACATACATTGCAGATCAAAAGATACATACAGACTAAAAGTAAAGGGACTGAAAAAGATATTTCATACAAATGGAAAGAAAAAAAAGCTGGGGTAGCTGTCTTACATCCAACAAAATAGACTTTCAAACTAAGGTTGTATATAGTAAGAGACAAAGAAGTACACCACATAATGATAAATGGAACAATCGAACAAGAGAATATAACCCTAGTAAACATTTACACACCTAATATTGGAACACCTAAATATGTGAAGCAAATCTTGATGGACATAAAGGGAAAGATCAACAGAAATACAGTATAGTTGGGGATTTTAAAATTCCATTGACTTCAATGGGTAGATATTTCATGCAGAAAATTAACAGGGAAACAATCAGATCAAATGAAACATCAGATCAAATGCATTTATTGATATCTTCAGAGCATTTCATCCCAAAACAGCAGAATATACATACTTTTCAAGTGCACATAAAAGGTTTTCTTTTTTTTTTTTTTTTTAAATATTTTATTTATTTATTTTTAGAGAGGGAAAGGAGGGAGAGATAGAGAGAAACAATGTGCGGTTGCTGGGGGTTATGGCCTGCAACCCAGGAATGTACCCTGGATGGGAATCGAACCTGGGACACTTTTGTTCCCAGCCCGTGCTCAATCCATTGAGCTACGCCAGCCAGGGCATAAAAGGTTTTCTAAGATAGACCACATGTTAGGACACAAAACAAGTCTCAGTAAATTTAAGGTGATTGAAATCATATCAAGCATCTTCTCTGAACACAATGTGATAAAACTAGAAATCAATCACAAGAAGAACACTGAAAAACACACAAAGACATGGAAGCTAAATAATATGTTATTTAACAATGAATGGGTGAAAAACAAGACCAAGGAAGAAATCAAAAGATACCTTGAAACAAATGAAAAGGAGGACACAACAATCCAAAATTTCTGGCACATTGGTAAAGCAATCCTAAAAGGGAAATTCATAGCATTACAGGTTTATCTAAAAAAAAATAACTAAAATAAATAATCTAACTTTACACTTAATGGAACTTGAACAACAAAACCCAAAGTGAGTAGAAGAAAGAAAATAATAAAGATCAGAGCAGAAATAAATGAAATAGAGTCTTAAAAAATGATACAAAAGATTCATGAATCAAAAGCTGCTTCTTTGTAAAGATAAACAAGATTGACAAACCTTTAACCAGACTCATCAAGAAAAAAAGAGAGAGGACCCAAATAAATAAAATCAGAAATGAAAAAGGCAAAATAACAACTGACACCAAAGAAATACAAAAGATTTTGAGAAAATATTATGAACAACTATATGCCAATAAATGGGCAATCTGGACAAAATGGATACATTACAAAAAAACATATAATCTTCCAAAACTGAATCAGGACAAATCAGAGAATCTGAATAGACAGATTGCACCTAGTGAGATTGAAGCAATACAATACTGAAAAAAAAAGGACAAAGAAAGAAAATTCACACTTCTTATTTTAAAACTTCCTATAAAACTATAGGTAGTCAAGATAGTATGGCACTGGCAAGGGTGGATGTATAGATCAATGGAATAGAATTGAGGGTTCATAAGTAAAATCATGTATCTATAGCCAACTAATTTTCAACAAGGAGCCAAGAAGTCCAATAAGAAAAGAATAGTCTTTTCAACAAATGGTTCTAGGACAGCTGAATATCCACATACAAAAGAAGGAAGTTGGGCCCCTAACTTAAGCAATATACAAAAATTAACTTCCAATAGATTCTAGAGTTAAATGTAAGAATTAACATGATAAAACTCTTAGGAAAAAACATAAGCGTAAATCTTTGTGACTTAACGCAATAATTTTTTAAATACGACACAAAACACAAACAGCCAAAGGAAAAATTGATAAGTGTTACTGTATCAAAATTAAAAATGTTGTGCACCAAAGAATGATATCAATAGAGAAAAACAAACCATATAATAAGAGAATATTTACAAACCATTTATCTAATATGTATCTAGTACCCAGAACATATAAAAAGCTCTTACAACTCAACAATAAGAAGACAACTGAATTAAAATATGGTGAATGAACTGAACAGAAATCTCTCTTAAAAATATATACAAATGGCCAATAAGCTCATAAAATATCCTAAACATAATTAATAAAAGAGAGGCAAAATCAAAACCACTTCATTTCTACTAGATTTGGTGTAATTAAACAAACAAAATAACAGAGAATGGCAAGTGTTGGCAAAAATGTGGAAAAAATAGAAACCTCATAACATTGCAGGTGGCAATGTAAAAATCTGCAGCTGCTGTGGAAAACAGTTGAGCAGTTCCTCAAAATTTTAAACAAGAGTGTTTCCATGTGAACTAGCAATTCCACTTCTATTTATATACCCAAGAGAATCAAGAACCTATATTCACACAAAAAATTTTACTCAACTCTTCATAGCAGAGTTATTTATTATAGTCAAAGAGTGAAAACAAACCAAATGTTTTATCAATTGATGAATAAACAAAATATGGTACAGTCATACAATGAAATAATTGTCACTCATATAAAGCACTGACACATGCCACAACATAGATCAACCTTGAAAATATAATGCTAAGTGAAAGAAATCAGACACAAAAGGCTACATGTGGTATTATGCCATTTATTTATATGAAATATCCAGAGAGAGAAATCCGTACAGCCAGAAAATAGATTACTGGTTGTCAGGGGCTGACAGAGGAAGGAACTGGGAGCAAGCACATTTGTTTTGGAGGCAATGAAATGTTCAATAATTAGATAGTGATGATGGTTGTATCACACCATGAATATACTAAAAATAACCTAATTGTACACTTTAACATGGTGACTTTTATGTTATGTAAATTATATTTAAATTAAAAATTGCTAAAAATGTGCCAGCTATGCAAAAAGTTGTATTTTTTTTTCCAGATTCAATGCTTTAAATAAAGGAAAAATTCACTTCCTGCAGACCTTATTCTATTACCATCAGGTTTTTCTTTCACTGTTCTATTTCACACTTTGAAAGAACCAGGAACTTTAAAACAAAACTACTCTCTTTTCTTCCCTTTGAAAGCAAGTATGCAGCCCTGAGGGTAATGAAGCAATCACTGAAAGCAACTACCCATTTAGCGAATCCGTGCCCAACTCTGAACTCTATTTTGAATCCTAAGGGTGGGGCTTGTTTGCAAACAGCAGCTATATAAAGCCTGGTAAATTGGGAGATATCAAAGATCTGGCTGAAGGCAGGCGTAATCATCTTTGAGGAATGCCCCTCACTATGGGGAAAGGCAGACTTCCTCACTCAAGTTTCGTGCTACTTCTCCTTGTCCTGTTTTCTACCAATGCCTCAAACTCTGCAGAACCGTAAGTCTCACTCAAAGTCCTTTTCTCAATGGTCTGTTCTTTATTTTAATCTATCATTTATATCTTTGCTTTCTTTTTCCTATTAAATGCTATTTTTTATTCCTTAAGATTCTTTCTAATCATAAGAAATTAATTATAAATAGTTAATACATTTTTCCTTTTATTTATTCCGTACTCTTAAAATAATAGTCGTCCACACTAAGAAGCATGTTTTCATTACAAACTGAAACCTCAGACTCCACATTCACAGATCCATTCTTTTTGGATAGACATTATTGACTATAAAAATATTTAAAGTGTATAGTGGGGTGCAATTTAACTCACATTGTAGACCACATGCAAAGAGAAAATACAGCTCCTTCATTTTTCAATAATTTATTGCATCTTCATCAAGAGGCTTCAGTAAATAGTCAATGCAGGGGGGAAATAGTTTAACCTTACTTAGTTATAAAGTTGGTGAAATCCAAAAACTAAGACTTCTCTTCCGTTTCTCTCCAATTCCTCTCTGAGGAATGTGAACTTCACTAATTACTGGTGGAGAAGAGGGGTCAGGGTCCTTTGTCACAGAGTTCTCTGTCTTCTTGGCCACTGTCGATCTGTCTTCTCCTTGTCTGCTAACATTTATCATTTGAATCTTTAACCATCTAGTTTGTCTCAGTTTGGTCCCTTTGCCAAGGAGTCCCAGAAGTTCTCTTTAGCTGACTTTAACTCACATTAGCCCTTTCTTGTCACATAGAACTACCAACTCTCTACACCATTCTGCCTCCAATTCCATGGCAGTCATTCCAACACAGCCTATGCTGCAGGATCACCTTTGCTAGTCACCCATTTGAGGCCTCTGACCTCAACCCAGCTGCCTTTACATTTCTTCTGGAGGGCTGCACAATTCTTAGATCCAACAGCAACATGTAAACACTAAAGTATCCTGGAAAGGTTAAACTTCTATGCCTCCCTTACCTACCCACACTGTACTCCTAGATGACTCTGATATAGCTACATCCCTGATTGATACAGAGTAGCCTCCAGAGTACAAAATGAGGAGAGGGGTAAATAGACCTGCTCAGTATGTTACCTTTATCCACTCATCACAGTTAGTCCTCTCCAGATCAAATCAAAGGAAGCAGAAATCAGAACTCTAACCAACTGAAGTTCTTTCATTCCTCAGGCTTTGTCAAAGCACAATTACTTAGTAACCAGAAGGAGCACATTTCTCTTTCATTATTCTTCTACCTCATCTACAACTGTGGATGGGGGTTCCATCTTCCATTGATTCCACTCACAGAGCACTTTGGAAATATGTAGGGGCTGTTCAGTTTTCTAAGTACAGGCTGAATAGAAGAAGCAAGTGGCATTTTGGGGAATCTGAAAGTTAAGCAGTCTGTGTTTTCAATCCAACACAACAGAGAACTATTCTGCCCATTGAAAACCATTACTTTACATCTTTCTCACCATTTAACAAAGAATGAGCCTCGTGACCTAGTTGCCAATACGTGGAAAACCTCACCTTAACCCTCCAGCATTAGCTTTTGATGTGATAAATGAGAGTTATTGCCTAGAGAATGAGTTCTCCCCTGCCTTCTGTCAGTAACTTCAGAGAGATAGAGGTTACGGAAAAACATGATGAAAAAAGAAAATGAAAAGTGATCAGTTTAATCATCTGCAAAATTTAATCACTCCTACAAAGGCAAATAGTTAAAATTCAAACATTCATGATTAAGTAATACTTTAAACGATTTACTCAGTTTCAAGTGAAATCTTAGGCAAATTACTCAACCTTGATAAGTCCCAATTTCAATATTTGTAGAATGAATACTAACGAAACCTTTGCAAAATAGTTGTTTGAAATACCAAACGTAGGTGAAATAAATTTTTTAATTGTGATCTCAATTAGGCTAATAAAAATAAAAGGAGTATGTGGAATAAAATTATAATACACTAATGATTTATTTCCTATTGATATCAAAAAAATAAAAGGGGAAAGGAGATGGGGAGGTTAAAAAGTAATTATTATTTTATAGAGTCTATAATTAATACTATACTGCATACTTAAAAATTGCTAAGAGGATAGACCTTATGTTGTGTTCTCATTACAATAATAATAATAGTTGAAGAGAGGGAACTTTTGGAAATGATGGATATGTTTATAGCAAAGGTTGTACTGATTTCACAGCTATATACTTAACTACATACTAGTCAAGTAGTACACACTAAATATGTTCAGCTTTTTGTGTGTCAGTCATACCTTAATAAAGTGATTTTACAACATGTAGAGAAAATAAAGTCTTTGGAAATGAAGCGTTAAAGTAGCCATAACTTTGGTCTATAAGTTTATTATGTAAGCAGCGTCCAGAGAATAATATTACAATTCAATTTGGAGAGGTGAAAGAGATACGGCAATAGACCAATGTATGAGTCACTCAAGTAAAAACTGGTAATCTTCTACTTCCTAAATATGGTCAGGAGTTACTAACAAATGAGGAGGTTTTTTGTTTTATTTTGTTTTTAATATATTTTATTGATTATACTATTACAGTTGTACCATTTCCCCCCTTTACTCCCCTCCACCCCATACCCCCTCTCCCACCCACGTTCCCCCACTTTAGTTCATGTCCATGTGTCATACTTATGAGTTCTTTAGCTTCTACATTTCCCATACTATTCTTGCCCTTCCCCTGTCTATTTTCTACCTACCATCTATGCTACTTATTCTCTGTACCTATTCCCCCTCTCTCCTCCTCTCACTCCCCTGTTGCTAACCCTCCATGTGATCTCCATTTCTGTGGTTCTGTTCCTGTTCTAGTTGTTTGCTTAGTTTCTTTTGGTTTTGCTTTAGGTGTGGTTGTTAATAATTGTGAGTTTGCTGTCCTTTTACTATACATGTTTTTTCTTTATCTTCCTTTCATAGAAGTCCCTTTAGCATTTCATAAAATAAGGGCTTGGTGATGATGAACTCCTTTAACTTGACCTTATCTGAGAAGCACTTTATCTGCCCTTCCATTCTAAATGAGAGCTTTGCTGGATAGAGCAATCTGGAATGTAGGTCCTTGTCTTTCATGACTTGGAATATTTCTTTCCAGCCCCTTCTTGCCTGTAAGGTCTCTTTTGAGAAATCAGCTGACAGTCTGATGGGAACTCCTTTGTAGGTGACTGTCCCCTTATCTCTTGCTGCTTCTAGGATTCTCTCCTTCATTTTTTACCTTGGCTAATGTAATTATGATGTGCCTTGGTGTGTTTCTTCTTGGGTCCAACTTCTCTGGGGCTCTCTGAGCTTCCTGGATTTCTTGGAAGACTATTTCCTTTGCCAGATTGGGGAAGTTCTCCTTTATTATTTGTTCAAATACATGCTCAATCTGTTGCTTTTCCCCTTCCCTTTCTGGTACCTTTATAATTCGAATGTTAGAATGTTTAAAGGTGTCCTGGATGCTCTTAAGCTTCTCCTCATTTTTTTGAATTATTATTTCTTCATGCTTTCCTGCTTGGTTGATTCTATCTTCCTTCTGGTCCACTGTACTGTTTTGAGACCCAGTTTCCTTCCCTTCACTATTGGTTCTCCTCCGTACATCTTCCTTCATCTCTTTTATGGTAACCTGCATCTTTTCATCTAATTTGCGCCCAAAATCAACCAATTCCGTGAGTTTTCTGATCACCAGTGTTTTGAACTGTGCATCTGATAGATTGGCTATTTCTTGGTCGGTCAACAGGATGAGTTCTGGGGGACTGATCTGTTCTTCTATTGGAAACATGTCTCTCCCTGTCTCTCCTTTTTTTTTCTTTTTTTTTTTCCAGTCTGGTAGCTCTTGTTACGGTGGGAGGCGGAGCCTTAGGTGTTCACCAGGGCTGGGCACCCCAGTCACTAGATTGTGACGTTATATGTGGGGGCGAGGGCGGGAGCAGGGATGGGAGGGAACAATGGCGGTAGTTCCCTTCTCCTGGGATCCCAGTCCCTTCTCTGGGATCCTGGGCTGCAAGCTCTGCCCTGGTCCACAATCGCCGCCTCACTGGGTCCGCCAGCCACAGCTTGCGTACTCAGGGACCACCAATGCGTTCTTGCGCACCCCAGGTGGCTGAGTTCACGCCAAGTTTTCCCCGACCTCCGGGGGCCCACCCGGTTCATCCTCATGGCCCCTCCTGCCAGTCTGGATACACGGGTCTACTTCAACTTCTTGGCTGGCCGACTTCCATTCAGATAAATTTTCTATCAGTTCTGGGTGTTATTCTAGCTCTAAATTGTTGTTGTTCTAATCTTGGTTGTGCGTGGAGGTACAGTGCGTCCACCTATTCCTCCATCTTGCTGGAAGTCCACAAATGAGGAGTTTAACTAGGAGTTTGAAGGAAATAGAAAACTTTGCAAAGAAATATCTTAAAGTAATCATCCTAGAAGTTTGACCCTACTTTGTTCTTCCTGAGTTGGATGGAAAGAATTCAGAATAGGAAAAAGATGTATAGAAATGGACACTGGAACTGCCTGCTCCCATATGGTTGTTTTTACCACTGTCAATGCAGTAAGGCTTGTAGAAGGCTGTTGTTGTTGGGAAAATTTTAAAAAATATATTATTTATCACATCTTAGAAAGAGCAGATGTGCAGTTGATCAGAAATACTCAAGTGCAAGAAAGGGATTCAGTGAGAGGTACTATCTGAATGACCTTGGGTAGTTTATTTAACTACTCTGAGTCTCTCTGCTTCAGAACAAAACATTAGTATTTGTGCAATAAGCAGTCTGAGGTTTTAATGATTTAAGAGTGACTCTAAAGATTCATGGCATATTATTTTGCCAAGGAACAATTTAAAACATATACAGGAAGACTGCTGGACCAGACTATGTGGAGACTGCACTTGACTTCCAGGTTCAACAACTAAACTGTCTTTGTTATTCTCTACTCCTAGTCTCACACTTATTAATTTTGTAAAGTACTAAAATTGTGTTTCATGTTGGTGATAGAAAGGAAAGGACAATAAAATAATATAAAATAGTTCATTTAATTGCAAAGATATTCTATAAGTAAATGGCTTAAACCTACAGGCACTAAATTAGTAAAGCTTTGAGGATTCACATTTTATGTATAATATACTGATTTAGTGAAGGGGCAGAGATATTATCTCACTGTTATATATATTCAAATGTGGGAATTAATGAGGATCATGTGTTTTAGCTCTCATGAACATGAGGATATATTGCATGTACCTTATAGGATTGTTGAGAGAATTAAATGGCTTAACAGAAACTAGTTAATACGATTCTTGGCAAGCAGCAGATACTTAAGAAACACAGATTCTCTTTCAGCCCATGGAGATTCAGAGTATGGAGAGATTATGTGGAGCTGAATGCTGCAGGAAAGGTGTCACTGAAAATGGTTCCTGAAGAATGGATCGAACTGTGACAGGGAATATGAGTATGTCATAGACAAAGGAAACTCATCAATGAAGTCAAGATGAAAAGGCAAAGCTCACATAAAAAATTTCTCACACCTCTGAATAATTAAATACATTCAAGAATTTAAGTCAGATTTTTCAAAGTAATATATATTACAAGAACTCATTTTGTAATAAAAAGATAATTTATCCATTGACAAATTCTTGACATAAGCATATATTTTATAAACATAGAAATATTCATACTGAGACATTCAGATTGATTACCTCAAGAGAATCAGAATGAAAGAGAATGGGAAACAAGTGCTCTGTGGACTTGTGTGACATGTATGTGTACGTAAAAATTATTGATAAAGAGCACAGGCTGAGAACCAAAGTATCGCAGGTTTGATTCCCAGCCAGGGAACATGCCAGGGTTGCAGGCCACAGCCCCCAGCAACTGCACATTGATGTTTCTCTCTCTCTTTCTCCCTCCCTTCCCTCTCAAAAAATAAATAAATAAATCTTTTTAAAAAAAGAGAATTATAAAAAAATTGATAAAAATTAAAACTTGTTGATTGAAAAACTATTGATTTTTTGAATAGGCTATATCCGAGGAACCTAAAGAAACCGCATATATGTTCTTTTTCTGCATTAAGAAAATTATTTTGCAATATACATATATATTACTTTAATAATGAATATATGGTCACTGAAGTTTTTCCATTGAATTTATATAAATCCAGTCATGGTGTTCATGCACAGGTGATGCTTACTTAGATAGATTTTAATGTAAATTGTTTCATAAAGTAAGCAATCACCCATCATTTATTATGTGTGTGTCCTTTTACAAGAACATGAAAGAAAAGAATTTAGCTATTAAGATTCTTTAAAACAAAGAATGCCTATAAAATTGAAACATCTTTGATGTCAACTTCCAGTAGACTGTGTGCCTGAGGAACTATTGATGAGTAAAAGGTACTCTTATGCTAATAAGATGGAGGTCACAGTATAGAACTGACTGAAGCAGTAAATATATATTGTTATGGAAAAGACAATTATGGTTGAAAATGCTTGCTATCTTGTATTTTTCTCTAATTTGGCCTTTTTCCCTTCCCAGGCAGTATATGGTGCTGGTCCCCTTCTTGCTCCACACTGGAACCCCTGAGAAAGTCTGCCTCCTTCTGAGTCACTTGAATGAGACAGTGACTCTAAGTGCTTCCTTGGAGTCTCTCAGGGAGAACAGGAGCCTCTTTGCTGACTTGGTGACAGAGAAGGACTTATTCCGCTGTGTCTCCTTCACTGTGAGTACTAGCTGCCTGTCCCTGTTCAGTACATTATATTGAGTCATGGTGATGGACAGCTCATGTTCAGTCCCAAAGAATGATGTTAGAAGGTTAGTGAGAATTTCAGAAAGCCAAAGTAAATGAGTTTTTAGCTACTGAGGAATAAACCATGAATTTTTTCACCAGAGTAGGGGAGAAATATTTTTGTACATGCCAAATTTCAATTTAATTCCTAAAAAAAAATATTAACAGTTGTATTAGCCACAGAAATTGTATAATTTAGAGGAGCTTTCTTGCTTTGTTATATAACCATCTCTGTCGGGCCAGAGTTGGGCAATGCCTAGAAACAGCCTGAACAAATACCTCATTACAGAACAGCATGGAGCAGAATTCCTCTCTTGCAGAGGGACATTAAGTGTCTTTGTCCTTGGAATGTATAAATGATTCAAGATTCTCCAAGCAAATATACAGTACCTCTGTGAGGTTGCCCAACTTAGGACACTTAGCTCCTATATTGTCCCATACTTTTTCAGAGATGTTTCTCTCCATTTGTTCAGAATACACATTGCATTTAACAGGAGTAAGACTTAAAAAGTAGAGTTCCAAATGAGCTATATGAGGTTCCATTGATGGCTGATCTTACTGATATTGTTCTCATATTAATATCTATACTCTTATACATGGAGAAATATTCACACTTACCTAGCCCTTGGTGAAGCTGAAGAAGAGAGAGAAAGTAGTCATGATTGAAGGAGTCAGAGGGAGAAGACTGAGCTGGTCCTCAGTAGCATCCTTTGTTCTTTAGCTCCCAAGGATCTCATCCTCTTCAGAGGTGGTTTTCTTCACTGTCCAGATAAAGGGACCAACACAAGACTTCAGGAAGAGAAAGACAGTATTGGTAAAGAATGATCAAAGTCTGGTCTTTGTCCAGACAGATAAACCCATCTATAAACCAGGACAGACAGGTATGTAAGGAAATTCCACCATTTGGGGCAACACTAAGCAGAGCCACCCCCTCAACAGGTTTTCCAGCCAAAGTCACCATTACCCTGATCTCTTGGCCCTCTGGGTTACTACCCAAAATACCTCCTTTATCATGTCTTGAGACTCATCAGAGAATTTCTTTTCCAGTAAAATTTCGTATTGTCTCTGTGGATGAAAATTTTCACCCCCTGAATGAACTGGTAAATATCTCAATATTTTATAGTTTGGGTGGGTGATGGGTGGTGGGTGGTGGGATGAGAGCACTCATCCAAGGAAGGATGGGAGTATTGAGGAAAAGTGAGATGAAAGACATTCTTTTGGGAACCTAGATTCCAACTTTACTACAAATCTAGAGTCTTCTATAAGGCATAATTGAGGGGTAAGAGGTGAGGAAGCTCTTTTCTCTTATAACAGTATTTACTCAGTCTGGAAATAGCTATAATTTTTGCTCTCAAAACACTACATTAAGCAAAATGAAGATGCACATTAAAAGTTATGTGCTATCCAGATCCATACTCTGAAGGAGTTTATGACTAATTAAAACACCAAGGAGTTTCACTTCTTCTAAATATATATACATTATAAAATATATTTTATTATACAGTCAAACCTAAGTTCTCAAATGTCTTGGTTCTCAAACAATTCAGTTCTTGGCCATGTTGTTCATGGAAAAAATGTCTCCGTTGTCTAACAGAATTATTGGCCTTAATTCTCCACCTGACAACACTTTCATGCTGATACCTATAGGATCTTTCATGTGTCTCTTGGGTAACCAAGAAGATTCAGTTTTTAAACAGATCACTTCTTAAACAGTTTTCCAGAACAAATTAAGGTCAAGAACTGAGGTTCCACTGTATTATATATATTTATACATGTGTAATGTACATTATATATGAAGTCTTCATTTATATAAATTGTATGTTCCTTCAGCTAGCTTTCAATATGAAGGCAAAGAAGCAAGGCTACTTTTAAAAGTTAGATATTAAACAATTTTTTAAAAGACTATTTCTTTATTTTAGAGAGAGGTAAAGGAAGGGAGAAAAAAAGGGAGAGAAACATCAATGTGTGGTTGCGTCTCACATGGCCACCATTAAGGACTCAGCCTGCAACACAGGCGTGTGCCCTGACTGAGAATCGAACCCTCAACCCTTTGGTTCTCAGCCCGTGCTCAATCTACTGAGCTACATCAGCCTGGCATAAACAATTTTAAAATTAGAAGAAATATTCTTGGTTTACTTTTAACCAAATAATTCTGGGAATTCTTTCCTATTAAGGCTAAATAATAACATATAACTCTATGAATATCCATTTCTAATCTATGTAAGTAAACAGTGTGGTTATATTCTTCACAAGAAGGGTTTTTAGTACCTAAATAATATTATTGGTGAATAATATCAATAAATTGATAGATATTAACAAGTATTATTCAACAATAACATTTTTCAGGGAAATGATAACACAATGACTTTTGAAGAAATATATCCATGCTTTCTCAGAACTATTTATTGATTTCCCTGAACAATTCCACTTACTTTATGTTTCAGGTTAAATTCTGATATATCTTATTACAAATATTATTTGTCCTTAGTAAGCTGTTTGGTCATAAGTCCGAAATTGTAGTCTTTGGTGAAATTCTAATTACATCTCTTCTTTCATTTTTTCACATAGATTCCACTGGTATACCTTGAGGTAAGCAACAGAAAGGGTATCTTATAAGTCAGTGCATTTAAGAAAGAGGAAGTTCTGATAATATTTTAGACAGACAAACTTCTGTTAAAACAACTTTCAGATCTGTATTTTCCTACTCTCAGATGTCAGGTTTATTGTGGTTCACCTTCCTTCTGGGTTTCTTCCCTGAAGGCAATGTCAGTTATCAATCCAAAAGTCATGTATTTTGTCAAGGGCTGTCATGACTAAATATTATTCCCATGCTCTTTTCTTATCTCTAGAACCCAAAAAGGAGTCGAATTGGACAATGGCAGAATCTCAAGTTAGAGAGTGGCCTCAAACAATTAGCCTTTCCCCTCTCATCAGAGCCAATTCAGGGCTCCTACAAGGTGGTGGTGAAGAGGGAATCAGGCGGACATATAGAGCACTTCTTTACTGTGGAGGAATTTGGTATGGATTATGAAAGATAAAAGGGTCATAACTTTTTGGTTCATAGTATGAACTCACTTAGATCCTTTGACTTTTCCACAAGTATGTTTAACTTGGAGTAGAGTCAACTATATCTTATTCTAAGGCCATCATCATTCTGTGAACGCAGAAGTTTGCAAGAGCTTGAAGATTTTTAGTAGCAAGTTACACTTTGCCAAATATTAAAATTCTTATTTCAATGGAACCATCATCATTTGTTAACATTATTAAGATCTGTGGTGGCCACAAAGTCAACCTTTGCATAAATTGTTAAACTTAATCATCTTCAAGTTGATACTCTACATTGAAAAATAAATGTAACTTTCTATGGTATTTTTGTGGAAAAATTATAGGCATAAAAATATTTGTATTTCCATTAAATGTTTACCAGCCTCTTTATTTTTGTTATCTCTGTCAACAGTGGTTCCCAAGTTTGAGGTCAAAGTTCAAGTCCCAAAGATAATCACTGTCATGGATAAAAAAGTGAAAATATCAGTATGTGGAATGTGAGTTAAATTGTTTTTGTCTGAAATTCATTTTTGCCTCAGTTTTGAGTGATTATTTACCTACATACACAATTATAAATTACTTTTTTCCTCAGTACTTTTTAAAACTTATTTCAATGACTCCTCTTTATTTTTAGCATTAAATTTTTCAAATGCACAAGAGTGGAAACACTCATAATCATAACTTAACAAATAACATCTTTCCTTATTTGCTGTATCTTTTTTTTCTTTAACAATTCAGGATAAATTACAAAAATCATGACATTTTGACACAGCTGCAACATATGGACTTCTAAAGATCAGTGACATTTTATTTATGTATTTATTTGTTTATTTATTTATATTTTTAAAATATTTTTTCTCTTTTTTATTGTTGTACAGTTACAGTTGTTCCCATTTTCCCCCCATTATACTCCCCTGCCCTACCCACCCCCACTTCCCACCCCCTCCCCACCATTGTCTTTGTCTATGGGTCCTTTATACATGTTCCTTAACTTGACCATTCCTCTTCTTTTCTCTGTTACAACCCTCCCCTCTGGTCACGGTCAGTTTGTTCTTTATTTCCATATCTCTGGTTCTGTTTTGCTTGCTTGTTTGCTTTGTTGATTAGGTTCCACTTACAGGTGAGATTATATGGTATTTGTCCTTCACTGCCTGGCTTATTTCACTCAGCATAACACTCTCCAGTTCCATCCAGGCTGTCGCAATAGTGACATTATGTAATCATGATGCCATTATCACACTTAATAAACTTAAAGGTAATTGTTCAACACTAATTTTGAATTTATACTCAAGTACCTTTGATTTTCATAAAAATGTCTTTACACATCGCTTTTGGTTATGACTCATATACACCTTTTCTTTCCAAGTCTCTACAATGGAAACAAATGAGCAAAATAGAACCAGAGGCATGGAAATAACAAACTGACAGTCACCAGAGGGGAGGAGGGAAGAGGATAACAAGGGAAAAAAGGGAAGAGTCAAGTCAAGGAACATGAATAGAGGACTCATGGACAAAGACAATGGAGAGGGATTGATATGGGAGTGGGGGATCTAGGGTAGGGGAGAGAAACGGGGGAAAATGCTGGACAACTGCAACTGAATATAGTAAAAAATTTTTATTGTATTCTTCCCATTACCATTTGGTTCTGCAATCACTACACCATTGTCCATATCCATGAGTTTTTTCTCCTTTTTGCTCAACGCCTTGACCCTTAACCTACCCCTGAACTTAGTGGAAATTTTCAATTGCATACAAAAGTTGACAGAACAGCAAAACATAACTGCATGTGCCCTGCATTTTTTATAATTAAAAAATTATAACTATAATTTTTTATAAAAATTACAAAATTTGCCAATTTTGTTCCATTGATTCTTCCCCTAAAGTTTTGCCCTAATATTTTTAAACATGCCTTAGGAAATCTATAAATACCTCGAAGTTTTAAAAATCTAGGCCCTCCTTTTTCCCCATAGTATTAGCTTATGGAAAACAATGGGCCCATTGGCCTGTAAATGTGCCACTTGTTCCACTTGCCCGATTGCTCTCTCATGGTACATTGATTTAATTAATTTTGCTCTTTCTTCTAGCCAGTTTTAAAAGAAAAGTCTGGCTGTTTTGCATCAATCCTCTGGGTGCGGTAAAAGAACAAATTTTTAAGCACTAAAATAATCACTATTTTTAATTTTTTGAGCAATTTCCATACTGGTTTCATACCAGTATGAAATCAGAACTGGTTGTTCTGATCATATTGTTTACTTGAAATGATATTGGAAGCATTTGCAATTAGGAAAGAAAACTAATGATCCCCCAAAGAATTATCAATTATTCCAGTTGTATTAAAAATAGAGAGATGTAAGAATAAATAACTGATGTAAGTATAGAGTGCACACAAACAAAAATTTATATGCCCCATGATTGGTTTTTCAGGACTTTCTCTCTCTCTCTTTCTCTCTCTCTCTCTCTCTCTCTCTCTCTCTCTCTCTCTCTCTCTCTCTCTCTCTTTGTGTGTTTTCTTTATTACTTATTTTTTATTTATCACATAATTTTTATTTGGTAGAAAGAGCAAGTTTTGATTTATAATGACAAAATAAAAAGAATAAGAAAAATAAATAGGCTAAACAGAAGAAATAAAAATATTCCAAACAACTTGGCTGTACATTGAAGTATCAAATGTCTTAATGGGTAATATATTGATAGAGGCATTTTCTAGACATGTTTCTACTTGATATGAGTCTAAAATAAATAAAGTTATACAGGGAGCTGTAGAGAATAATTGTGCTGTACTGGGCTGGTAGTGAAAATTTATATAACTTTCCTCAGTTCCTGATTTATTTCTTACATGACAGATACACCTATGGGAAACCTGTCCCAGGACTTGCAACTGTGCGCGTGTGCCGAAATTCATTTCGATCTTTTTACTGTAAAAAAAATGTCTGTGAAGAATTCAGTCAACAGGTTAGTACACAGTGTTCTCTCTAGAGACTGTCATTGTTGACAACCAGTGAGCTACCCCATTTTACTGAAAGGCATCAGAGTAAGCTGATCCCCAAATGTTCCTCACCAAAAATAAAATATTTACCTTTAGTCAACAAAATTCTCATTTTGATGACTGATCATAGAGATTACAAATCAAATGTGAACATTAAATTCCTAAAGGTCGATTCGCCTGTTTAACCCAAAGCTGTCATGGCATCAGAAAGAAAATAGTGGATTAGTGACTATTGGCCTGAATCGGTATGACATTTATCAATTCTTATATTCTTTTCAGCTCAATAGCAATGGCTGCACCACTCAAGAAGTAAATACAGGCTTGTTCCATATTAGATCTGCGGGTTTGGAAATGCAACTTAATGTGGAAGCCAAGATCAGAGAAGAGGGAACAGGTTTGAGTACCAAATTAACATGGGAGATAAAGCAGTAGACATTGACTTGTTTCCCATAATAAAACAGGGGTCATAACAGAGGTGGTAGAAAATGAATTTTAGGACTAAAGTAACTTCAAGAGTACTTACTCTTTTCTACATATTTTTCAGAACTAGAGTTCACTGGACATGGGACCAGTAAAATCACAAACATTGTAACCAGACTCAAGTTTGTGAAAGTGGATTCACACTTTAGACGAGGAATACCCTTCTTTGGACAGGTAGAGTGTGTTGCAATTTTACAGGTAAATGAAGTGTCTAGTTGTACCTAGTTCGAGGACACACTGATGTAGTCCATACCTGGTTAGTGTTATCAATTAATTAATATGACCAAAATCATTGAACCAAACAAAAGTAGATACTTTCCTTCATAATATCACTGATAAAATGCACAAACACACAATACATTATTATGAGAATCAGAGGCACTGTTTCTTTGTTGAACATGTAACTAATCAAGATGATTAATGTCATGTAAGTTAGTCATTTCAAGCCCTTTCTCCCACCCATTTCATAATAAATAAGTATATATCTGCCATTATCCAGCCCGTATCAGAATTTTAATAGACTTTCTCACAAATGACTCTCAAGTTATGGCTGTCAGTATCTTTCTTTAGATCTCTTATTCTGCTTAAAATAAATGAATAAGTGGTTTTCATTTTAAACATTGGAATTATAATAGTGCAGTTTATGGTTATTATTCTTGTATTATTTTCACTTTCAGGGTATACTTTAAGAATAACAAAATAAACAGTAATGGGAGAAAGTTGGGGCAACTGTAATTGAACAACAATAAAAAATAATAAAATAAATAAATAATAATGATTTTATTCATATTAACTGTTAACTTTACCAGTTTTATGGTTATTTAATTTTTCTCAAACATTTTGTGTGGATTTGTTTCAGAAAATAAAAATAGAGTAAGAATTCAAATTATAAAAAGGAGATGGAAAGACATGAGGATTCAAATGGTAGGAAATAGCTTTGCAGTCAATATGGAAAAGCTGATTCTTGGTCTTTGGTTTTTGTGCTCAGTTAGGGGAGCAAATAAGTGTGTTCCCAGGAGTTCTACCCTCTCTCAGTATTATCCACATAACTTAGCAAGTACTTTTCTTCTTTAGGTGCTTCTGGTGGATGAAAATAATGTGCCCATCTCCAATAAACTCGTCTCCATCTTTGCAAATGAAGTCAATTACTTTTTCAACGCAACCACCAATGAACAGGGTCTTGCACAGTTTTCAATCAATACTACCAACATATTGAGTAGCCAATTTTTTATTACAGTAAGTATGAAAGGAAAAAAAAACTTGAGGACAAAGAAAAACCTTAGTAACAGTCATGCATTCAAAAGTGAATAAGTACACAGATTAAGAAGCTATCCAACTTGGGATAAACTTGAGGAAAATGTAATTGAAAATAAAAAAGATGTCAGAAAAGATATTGTAGAAGTGCCTGATAATTTGATTATAATTTTTTTTTAATGTTATGTATTATCCAAAAATTTTTTTGGATTTTTTTTCCTAAACAATATCAGTTCTTCAATGGGTAATTCATGTAATTTGTTCTATGTTGCTTTTCCACATCTACTTATTTTTAAAATTATTAGAATCCCCCTATACATGCACACTTATATATTGCCTAATGAATAGGAGAAAAAGAGTTCTATAGCTAAAAAGCTTTCATGCTTTCAATTTCAAGCCAAAAATGGTAAAAATACTATGACTTATTGATTCTAGCTTAGATAAATGGCATATATATTGTTTACATTTTCCAAGGTTCATATGTTAATTCATTTTAAAAATATGTAATGATGTTTGTTTTCTGTGTAATAGATACCTATTCTTCCCTATGATTGAAAAGGTGAATAAATAGTGCCGCTTTACTTGAAAAATTTCTGTGAAGTTAACAGAACTATAAATTAATAGCCTAATTTATTTAAGTGCAGTAATTTTAAAAATAAGAACTTTATTATGAGAGCAAATAGGGTACACACAATACACCTAATAAATTCAGGAAAAGTATAAGTGCACCCAGAAAAGATCTGAGTAGCAACTCTTGCAAAGGAAAAAAATAGAAATCTCTGCTAAGCAATATCTTCAAGATTTATAGGTCCATAAACTACATAGGCCTTAAAAATAAGAAGTCACAACAATGATGAGTCATAGATGCTAATTTGCTAAGAATTATTTATAAACAATTTTGAGACCCATAATGCAATAATATATTTGGTTTGTATATAATGAGATTTTAATTAAACCAATTTAAAAAGAACTCCCATTATCTGAAGATTTTATCCTTCTAATTGGGGCATTATTTTTCTGCCGGCTCTGAGCTGGAGAGTCAAATGAGTGATGAGCTGGAAGAATCAGGGCAAAGGAAATACATTTGTAGATAATTTTTTATCTGTGTAAATTTAGATGTTGACAACATGTTTAGCTGGTGGTCAACAGGATGAAGGAAGATGCACAGTATATTTTAGAGAAGATACAAAATTTTAACTATTCCTTTCGGTGGGAGGCTAACATGAAGAACTTCAAGACAGCATTAATTCTTCACTCTTCTGTTTTTAATCAGGCCCACCATGAGAAACCTAACATGTGTACTAACTATGCATGGCTAGAAGAAGAGCACCAGACAGCTTTTCACACTGCGAGTCAAGTTTATTCCTTAAGTGGAAGCTATGTTCAGGTGGAGCCTGTGGATAGTACCCTGCCCTGTGGCCAAACACAGACTATCAAGGCACACTACATACTCAGGGGGTCAGCCACTGGGGAACTAAAGGAGCTCACTTTCTATTACCTGGTAAGATTAAAGCCACAGAATATATTTGGAGTTTATCAGTAAACAAAAGTGGTGAATGGGGCCAGTAGTGTAAAAATTACTTCTGCACTACCATCTTGCTTTCTCATCCATGTTTCCCTTGATTCTTTGATTTTCACGGGGTTGATTCTCTCCAGCAGAGACTCAACAATCAAAAGTAGGTTACATGGGGAATAAAGTTGAAAACTGTCAGGCTCAAGAAAACGTTTTGTTGGGTTGTTTTTTTTTACAATTTTTCATTTCAGATCATGGCTAAGGGAGGCATCATCAGATCAGGAACACACGTGCTGCCTGTAGAGCCAGAAGATGGTGAGTACCTCCCAGTCAGTCTCCCCATTTCTTTCCCAGCACACCCACCCTTACATCTCAGTGAAAGTTCACAAATGAGGAAATCATTTCCATTGTCTCTTTATACTAGGACACAAAAGAAATTGTAAATAAGTGTGTGTGTGTCAGGAGAATAATTTTGAGTTATTCAGATTTAAGTTGGTTTAGGTATCAACTGGGTGTAAAATCAGATAAAGAAAATAATGAGTGTAGGCCACTTTAACTTATTCTACAATTGAACTTGTGAAGTGAGACATTAGCCTATTAATTTTACCAATTAACTAGAATCACACTAAAGAGATTAAGCCTTTGAATGTATATGCATAGTTCTAAATTGGACAAGACCTACTAACAGCATCCTGACCTATGACCATATTGTCTCATTCTCTCCATGCCCCATAAAAGGCAGTTTTTCCTTATCCATCCCTGTGACGTCAGACATTGCTCCCATTGCACGATTGTTCATCTTTACTGTTTTACCAAATGGAGAAGTTATTGGAGATTCAGAGCGTTTTGAGATTGAAAACTGTCTAACCAACAAGGTGAGTGTTTTTAACATAAAATAAATAAGTAGGACTATAGGAACCACCTATTTTACCCCAGAGGGAAAAAAATGAGTGCAGAAAAGTAAAATCAGTTGTCCAAAGGTTCTCAGCAAATTAATGGCACAACCAAATCTCTAGTCAGCTAACACAATAATTTTTCAATTACACAAAATTCCTTCCACATAAAACATAGTTTAATTTTGTGTCCATGGTCCTCTGCTCCATTGATTCAATTGTGTGAGATATGTAAGATGCTATGACTCAAAAGTCTCAAAAACCTGAAGAATACAAATACTTTATCATGAATTAGAGGTAAAAATGGATTTCTAAAATTCAAACAAGTTATCTATACCTAACAATCATCCATTGTCTCCTTAGGACAACACAGCTTTTCAACAGCAAAGGAAAGATGAGTGACTGACTTCATGACTGACTCCCAAACATAGCCATTTACAGCTGAATGTCAGGATGACTCAAAAACTGTGGGTTTCTGCAGGGATCACACAAATAAAAGTACTGGATGACTTTTACTTCATGTCTCACAGGTGGATTTGAGCTTCAGCCCAGCACAAAGTCTTCCTGCCTCACGTGCCCACCTGCGCGTCACAGCTTCTCCTCAGTCCCTCTGTGCCCTCCGCGCAGTGGACCAGAGCGTGCTGCTCATGAAGCCTGAGGCCGAGCTGTCCCCGTCCTCGGTGAGTTCCCTCAGCCTTGGGGGTTAGAAAGGGACACATGAAGGGCTCAGAGCAAGGAGAAGGCCCTGCTGAGAGTAAAATACAAGAGTATACTAAAATATTTACCCTTTATCTATTTTTTATGATTTCTCAAGCTCTCTCACACATTTTCTCATTTAATCTTTCCAACATCCCAAAGTAACATCCTCATTTTATGATGTAAAAACTAAGATTTGTAACAGTTGAGAGACTTGTGCAAGCTTACCCAGTAGTACGTGACATAGCTGAGATGTCATTCTGAAATTGCCCACAAACTTTAGTCTCTTCCATGACATAATTTCTCTTTCTATAAGGAATCAAATCTAAACCCCAATTACTCACACTGTATAATAATCTCAATGAAAGCTAAATTTTGTTAAGATCCACCACTTATGTAGGTCATAAACTGAATAGGTTGCTAAAATAAAATCATTTTTGATCAATGGAGCAATTAAGACTTTTATAAAATTAATAATATGAGCATAAGTCATGAAACTTTCAATAGATCTAACAATGTATGTTTCTAGAGTACTTGGGATCTGTAAAAGTGGTAATAAGTGATTCACAAGTTATTTTAAAAAAACAACTTATCACAACTTTGTCAGAAATGATGATTCAAGGACTAAAATTTTAAGTCTCTGTTTCTTTCTAGAATTATATAATTCATAGTGGTGATATTCGAGTGTCATGATAATTCACTGTTGTTACCACCATCATCACCACCATTGTAAGCACACTATGTACTCAGTCCATTGTAGGAGCTAAGAAAATAGCAGTAAACATATCACATCCTTGTCCTTGTAGAGCAGTGACCTTAGAGAGACTATAATAAAAGTGATACATAATATAAGGTTATATATGGCTCAGAAAAATAAAAGGTGAAATATTGGTTAATAATTAGCATCAGGAGAAAATATTTTTAACTATTTTTATTGTTGACACTTACAAATGTCCCCATTCCCAATTCTGTCATCTCCACCCAACCCCCATTCCCCTTTCCTTCTGGCCCGCACCACACTGTTCTTTGTGTCTGTGTATCATGCATATACGTTCATTGGCCGATCCCTTCTCAAACATGGGGTTTTTGAAGAGAAACCTATCAGCGAAACAGGAAAAATCAGAGACTCCTTTTCTAACCCATTTAGAACTAGGTTACTCATTTTGAAATTTTTTAATATAATTCGAGTAAAATGATATGGTATTAGGAATATATCATTGTCAAAAGGTTGTCACTGGAAAATTTTATAGCTTTAATTGCCTCACGCATCAATATTTAAAAGCAACAATTAACTTTCTTGTTTGGGAGGTATTGTTACTTATCAATGATGGAAGATAAATCAGTAATATTGCCGTTTCTTTTAAGTTTGTTAGTTTCTACTTCTCAAACTTCAGTTGTATGTGTTAAATTTTAGCCCTGGTTGGTGTAGCTCAGTAGACTGAGCATGAGCCTGCTAACCAAAAGGCTGATTGTTCAATTTCCAGTCAGGGCACATGCCTGGTTTGCAAGCCATGTCCTCAGTTGGGAGCATGTGAGAGGCAACTGTTTGGTCAATGTTTCTCTCTCACATCGATGTTTCTCTCAGTCTCTTTTCCCCTTCCCCTCTCTCTAAAAATAAATAAATAAAATCTTTTTTTAAAAAAAGAACACTTATGTTCACTTAAAAAAAATTAACTGTGAGATTTCTATATCCAGGATCACAATCCTGTTTCTAATAATCAGACTTAATATTCTTCAGAATGGAAGGTTTATACCAAAATTCTATGCAACCTTTATTAGTATTTTATTAATAGGTCAAAATATCTACTCATAGCATAATAATTACTACACAGAAGACAATGACCATATTTCTCTATTTTAATTAGAAGATGGCATCAGGAAGTTAACCTGAAACAAGGGAATTTTCTTTCTGGGTGATTTCTTTGGAGACGTGCCTTGTTTTTTACATTCCCTATTTATGGTAGTCTATTCTAAGCTAGTTTTTTCAGCTTCTATTGAAGGAATTTGGTCTGGTGCTTAATATTTTATGTCTAACCTATTCTGTTTAGTAGGGTAAACATAAATTTAATAGTTATTCCAGTTGCATCATGAAGCTTTGAGTGTTATAGAAGTGGGAAGGAATTATGAACAAATGGAATATTTGGGCTCTTGGAGTTGTAAAAATCTTCAAGCTTGCTTGCTTTGAAGATGACCTGGAAAACACTGGTTCAGCTAATAGAGATAATAGGCATGCTCATTTATGTACTGGTTTGACTCTTCTACTCAGGAACAAAGATTAATAAAGAAGTTTAAAGGGGAGTTGTGTTAGTTATCTACTGATGCATAACAATTTTCCCAAAAATTATTGGTTTAAAACAATAAACATTTATTACCACAAGCAGTTTCTGTGGATTAGGAATCCAGAAGTGACATACCTCGGTGGTCCTGGCTGTTGATCTCTCATGAGACTGCAGTCAGCATGTTGGCCAGGGCTTTAGTTATCTGAAGACTGGATTGAGGTTGGAAAATCTGCTACTAAAATGTGTTTCTCCTACAGCTGTCAGGAAGCCTCAGTTCCTCACTAAACAGACTTCTCCATAGGGCTGCCTGAATGTCCTTATAACATAACAGGTGATTTTCTTCAAAACAAGTGACTTGGAGAGAGAAGCTAAAGCATCTTTTGTGACCTAGCCTTGGAATTCATATAACATCATTTCTACAAAAATCTTACTAGTTACAGATGTCAGCTCCACTCATTATGGGAGGAGCTACCAGAAGGCAGAAATTACTGGGGGCTATTTGGAAGGCTGTCTGCACAGTCTACCCTCTGACTTCCAGTGATTCATGACTCTGCCACATGTAAACCCTGTGCTCACTTTTCACCCCCAAATTTCTAAAAGGCTCATTCCAAAATAGCAACAGCTCAAAGACAGAACCTCATTCTTTAACTTGAGTCTAGGTGCATATGATGCCCCTTGCCTGTAGATCCTCAAGTATAGTTTCTCTAGCTATAAAGACCTTTAACAAAAGTTTACAAAAGTTATTTACGCCCCCCCCCCAACATGCAATGGTAAAAGTGGCATACTGACACTCCTAGAGTGGTGTTTTCTTTTTTCCTGTTTTTTAATTAAATTTATTGGTATAACATTAGCTAATAACATTATATACATTTCAGAAGTACAACTTTATAATATGAAATCTGTAAACTCTGTTTGGTACACCCCATCCAAAGTTTATTCTCCCTTTGTCACCTTGTAATTGACCCCCTTTATCTTCTTCATTGTCCCCCCACCTCTCCTCTCCTCTGGTAACCACCATTCTGTTTTCTGTATCTATGTATCTAGTTTTTTGTTTGTTTGCTTATTTGTTTATATGTTTTTTGTTTCTTCATGTGTTGCTATTTGTTTTATATCAACATATGGGTGAAATCTTACAGTCCTTGTCTTTCTCTACCTGACTTACTTCACCTAGTATAATACTTTCAAGGTCCATCCATGTTGTCAAATATGGCAACATTTTATGGATTTTTATGACTGAGTAATGTTCCATAGTATATATGCCCCACATCTTTTTTATCCAATCATCTGTTAAAGAACACTCCTGTTTTTAAAAGTGGGGGAAACAGGAGGCACACAGGAGTTACTGGTCCATAACAATTCTGAGATCCAGTCAAGCAAATGTTGGAAGTTCTTTGATAGAATTCAGTCTTACTCTACAAGGGATAAATAACCAGGCCTCTTTCATTGGTCATCCTTTTTGTTTCAAAAAGTAATCTGTGTTTACAAATACATAGACACTGTTCTATTGAATAGAGATGATATGTAGTCATTTATGTACCTATGTGATTCTTCTATCCAAGAATTAAGATAAAATTAGAAGCTTAACAGATGCCAACAATTCCTACCTAAATTTCTCAGGGCATTAACAATTCATCCAACACAGAAGCAAGTTAAGTCTCCTTGCTATATTTGATCTAGTTTTATCTCTAAACATTACAATGAAGTGTTTATTAATCCTTAGTAATTTAAGATTTTGTTCAGTGGAAGTATTTTCCCAAGTTTGTTTTACATCTTTAGAACAAAAAACACTACTAAACAAATGTTTTATCCTCTCTAAGGTACTAACTACATGAAGGTACTCAGAAAAGAGATGACAATTATCATATTTTTCTCAGTTCACTGGATATTTCAAAACAAAAGCAGGTTAAAATTCTGTCTTTAATCTCTGCACTGCTACAGGTATATAACCTGCTCACTACGAAGGACCTCACTTATTTCCCTGAAAATTTGGAAGACCAGGAAGAAAGACAAGCACGCTGTGGTTATAATTATATCTTTGGTCAAAGAATGGACATTGAAGGAGATATCTATAGCTTTCTAAAGGTAAAATCCTTACTAGTTAATATGAGAGTCTGAATGTTAGTAAAGCTTTATACACATATATAATTTTTCAAATTGTTTAGCCTGGCAGTAAGTCAGAGCCAAGGCTAGATGTAATCTCTGACATTTCATTGAGATATCTCAAAATTGAGATATTTTTAGTTATATTTAGTTACTGTATTTTTAAAAGGTGATAAATTACACAAGTTTAATGAGCCATAAAGTGCTATAATTTTACCATTCTATATTTATTGTCCACGAAACTAATATAACAAGAAGGCTATTGGAATTACATAGGGAAATTCTAAGGAAAATATATTTTATGCCATCTAGTCAAGTTTACAAATTTATTGAATGTCATTTTTACAGGGCATGGGATTAAAGGTGCTCACCAACTCTAGAGTCCGAAAACCAGAGTCATGTTCGATGCCTAACCAACCCATAGCAGCAAGAGTTCTAGCAGATCCTATACCACATAGAGGTAAAAAGAAAAAGTTGTTTTTAATTAGGTGCTACATACAACAATAATACTTCATAAAAACAAAAAAACTACAATGAGATACGTAATGGAAACTTGCAATGCTTCTTGCTGAGATCAGGTAGCTGGGAAATGACATGGCCAGAACTGATCAGAGTTTTTCTGTTTGTTTGTTTGTTTGTTTGTTTGTTTGTTTGTTTGTTTTAGATGAGTCAGATACTTCAGGGCACAGAATCAGCTGAAATACAGGGAGGGAAAGCAAGTTTATAATGGAAAAAGACAATAATTCTGATTATGAAATCAGAAAAGACATTCATAGAAATGCTTTACCTTGCAGAATAGAAAGAAGGAGAAAAAGCATCACTGGTCAAAAGAAACAATGTAAACATGGCAGAGATATCTCATAACCCAGGGCCAAACAACACCAAAATAAAATATCAGTAAAGAAGCCCTTTTCTAGGCCCTTCAATTTCTGCTTAGAAACATCTGTCCAGCCTCCAGGTAAATTTGCAGTGCATCATCCAACCCATTTCCATCCCTCTCTCAGGGAATTCTGGTTATCCTTTGCTCCAAAATATTCTTGATGTCTATCTGTTAACAAATATTAATATCTTTTGAGTTTGGGATTATGACTCAGAGGTACTATATATGAAGTGGGTGTGTAATGCCTTTTTTCTAAGCCTCAAATCCTTCATTAATAAATTGAAGCAATTTAAAAGCACTGCAAGACATTTCAAACTATGCGATAAAATAAATACCAAGTACAAAAACAAATAAAGAATTTTAACTCTTTAAAATCTGTTTTCCGTGTTCCTTGACATCAAGTTTATTGTAGTCACCATGTGATGTCAATACCCATCTGCCAAACCAATCTTATCATGAGGAAAACAATGCTGTCAGCTCACTTTTAAAAGACCATGGACAGTTGTCTCCAAGTATAACCTTTAACAATAACACCAATTGCAAATAGTTTCTTAGTAATGGTAAATATTATTTTTGTCAGGTAACTAAGAAGTTTTATAAATAAGAGAGATTAAGGAAAAGAAAAATAATCATGAAGTTTACACTTAAAAAAATTTGAGCTTATACCATGAAATTTAAGGGAAAAGAAAAATTTCTGGAAGTTGATAAGAAAAGAATTTCAGGCATATAATATAATTCAGAAAAAAATAACTTCTAAAATGTATAATGAATACACAAAGGAGATTGAAATGAGAAAATATATAAATGGCTCAGGACTATGAGCAATGAAAAAGACAAGAAAAATAGGTATTTTGTGAAAGTTCTTGAAAATAATTTGAAGAACATAAGTCCATTCCCATGACTGTTTGGGAAGTCATCTTGCACCTTCAAAGTGATTGATGGCTAAGAACAGTAAATATGGAGAATATAACTTTAATAGTATCCCTAAGAACTGAGAGTGAGTGACAGAGAGAGAGACAGAGAGAGAGAGAATAAGGAAAAGAAAGGTTAATCTAAAAAAAAGTAAAATTATGCTGGACAATGATAGAAACCATTAGTGCTTGGAATGATAAAAACTAAGGTATGAATATGAAAATTATTATTTTTCATGGGTTCAGTAAATATTAATTGAATACTTACTGGCCTAGTTTGTGAACATATAACAAATATTGAGAAGAAAAATCTTCAGTTGTATGAAAGTTATATGTTAAAAGGCATAAAGAGAATGTAAATAAAATAAGCAAGTAAATTATGCAGTTTATTAGAAGGTGATAGATTCTATAGAGAACATTTCAACAGAGAATAGGGTGATAAGTGAATGTCTTACCAAGAGAGTAAAATTTTAGCAAAGATTTGAAGAAACAGAGCCAACTAAATGACTATCTGGAAGGAGAATACTGCAGTCATAAAAGGCAACTCCAGTAATAGAAAATACCTGCAGATTGCTTGTTATATTTCAAGAGATTAGATTAGATAGATAGATGATAGATGGTAGATAGATAGATAGATAGATAGATAAGATTGATAATAGAATTTTCTTAATTCTTACAACAATCCTTTAAGGTAAGTGTATATTTTTTATCACCATTTTCTTCTTTTTTGTTTTTTTCCAGCTTTATTGAGATCTCATTGACATATATTGACACTATTGTTTAAGTTCAAGATATACAATGTATCCATTTGATACGTGTTGTGAAACACCTACCAGAGTAGAACTAGCAAATGCCTCCATCACCTCACTTATCACCATGACTTTTTGTGTGGTTATCAGCATTTTTGAAACAGAAAAACTGAACCCAAAAAGATTAAGTAACTCAGCCAGTAAATACATGGAAGGGGCATTCCAATCAAATGGTCTGACTTCAGATCCATGTTTTTTAACTACCACACTATTCTGCCTCTCAAAGGCTCTAATCTATAAGGCAAGAGATTGTCTGGAATGTAAAAGGAGTGAGGAAGCCAGTGTAGGAGAAACAGAGTAAATAAAGTGAGGACACTTGGAGAGAGAAACCAGAGGAATAATTGAGATCAGATCACATAGGGCCTTGTAAATCATTGAAAGGATTTGACTTTTTGCTGTGAGTGAGGTGGGGAGACTTTCAGAAGAGGAACGACATGATCTAATGTTGCTCAGAAGGATCACACTAGACACTAAATTTAGAAGAAAATAACTTTTACACTTTTTGCTTCAGAATAAGGAAGGTCAAAAATGAATGCAACTATTACAAAGCTAGATTAAGTGTTTCTTTTTAAGCTGTGAACAGAACATCCAGTTGAATGTATTTTGTCATCAGCAATGGAACAGACGGTACGTGGGTTAGTCCAGGGATCAATACATTTTAATGAAGTCAGATGGGAAAAGGAGGGGGGGAAGATTTTGTCTTGGCAAATGAATTTTAAAACATTTAAAGTATAATTTATTATTGTAGCATAAGGAAGACTCAAATTTAACATAGAGATGGTAAAAGAATAGGTAGAGAATCAAATTGACATTGAGAATAAGAGACAATAAGGAGGAAATAGCTATCATCTAATAACTGAAGTAAAAGTAACACATCCTGCCATGGTTTGTTAACTGTAATAGCTGTAGAAGTTGGAGAGTCTTTGATATGGGGGGGGGGGGGCTTGAAATGGGAAATAGTTCATTTAGATGCATCATCCTCTTATATACTTATGATTAAAAATAAGAGTAAAGACAGAGATAATAGACCATCAGTGAGAAATCAAAGTCAGAGACAGAGATGGATACCATTTGACATGAAAAAGATGAGGGACAAGGACCTGATGGAAAGAAACTATGATATCTATTTTAAAAATTACCATTGATGCTTTTAACAGTTAAGAGAAATATCCAGGGGAAATTCCTGGAAATATGCCTTCTCTTATTAATATTTCTCACAAGGTTATTCTGAAATATAAGAGGGGATACTTGAGTGGAGAGCCTAATTGATACTCAATTTATAAGCATGGTTTTGGGCACAATATGGACCAGTAACCTTTACACTTAGTTCTCTACCCTCCCTTTTGTAAATATTTTCCTTGCCTCAGCCATAGAGCTATTCCAAATGGAAATACTTCTTTTGACATCTTGAGTTCTTTATTTTTCCTTTCCATCAAATAAACAGAATAAAATCTAATGATCTAGCCTTGTTATCAAGAGAGCAATGAATTTACAAGCTACGATATACAGAATTGATATTATTAAATTCTATTCACTTCAGTGGTAATTCAATGTCCAATATAACTAACACTCATGTTGCCTAAAGAGAGTTTTACCTTTTCAAAGGTAGAATTTCTACCTTTAAAAAAAAAGAGTCCTCTCTGCTGAAATAACATGGACACAAGAACTTATTTCTAAAGTTCTACAATTTTTAGGAAAACTGAAAATTTGCTCTGCCTCACAAAAACATGCACCATAAAATAAATGGATGCTTTTTCCCTAACTAGATTCTTATTATTTTTTTCTTATTTTGATAAGGTTTACCTGGTTTACCAGGTGCAGCAAGTCCATATATTCCTCAATCTATGGCATATAATGTAATGTATGAAAGTAATATTCAACGTCCAGAGCCAGTCTCTGAAACGGTGCGGAGTTATTTTCCTGAGACCTGGATCTGGGAGTTGGCGGTGGTGGAGTAAGTAACATTCTCTCCTCCGTTTGCTATGGGTGAGGCTATATGGCCCCTCCAGCATTTTCAACTCTGAGATAATCTTTCTGAAAAGTTTCATATAATTGTCTTAACCTTTTACCCTTTCATGAGAGACCTAAGAAAAACACATTTATTGTGTAAGTTTGCTATAGTATAATTATCTCTCAGAGCTAAACAAGTCTAAAGTAATTATTCCTACCAGAAAACAGACATGGGGGGCTAAAATATTCAAATTCTATACTGTCTAATGCCATCCAGAAAGCCCCTCATAAACAAGATTGGAATAAGCATATAAACAAATCAGGTTATATAAGTATGATGGTTTATTTGTTGGATCATGAATCTTAAACATGCTTTATGGGTAAAGCATGTCCAATAATGAGGGTATCTTAAGGACCAAACTGAATCACACTCAAATAATCCTTTTTAAAATACACACATGTAATGTGGCCATAGACTGGTAAGGGAAAGATATAGATATTTGCCCATTTAATCCCTTACTGTTTCCCACCTCAGTCCCCAGTACATAATCAGTATACACATGCGCCCTTGCACAGGAATCCCTGAGTGGATTTCATTCTTAACAGTTCCTTCACACACATTAATTCTCACTTGAAAAAAAGACATTTTACCTGCTTACTCTCTGTTCCTCGCTTTGCCATCCTCCCCAGCTCATCGGGTGTGGCTGAAGTAGGAGTAACAGTACCTGATACCATCACTGAGTGGAAGGCAGGGGCTTTCTGCCTGTCCAATGACACTGGACTTGGTTTCTCTCTTCCTGCCTCTCTCCGAGCCTTCCAGCCCTTCTTTGTGGAGCTCACAATGCCCTACTCTGTGATCCGTGGAGAGGCCTTCACACTCAAGGCTACTGTCATCAACTACCTCCCCAAATGCATCCGGGTAAGAAATAAATGAGGGTGAATTGAAAAGGTAGATGGAACTTCATTGGTCAGTCAGCTCCTGATTTGCTCCCAAGACTATGGATAATTCTAGGAATTATGAGCTAGCACTGCAAATAAACAGTGCTAAACAACTTGAGACAAGATCTGAAAGATAACACAATGACATGTGAGCTATAGGTACTAAAACTAAAGATCTCCAACCCACATATATATATTTAGGTGTCCTGAATCTTGCAGAATCCTGACACAAGATAAACTTTTTGGTGGAAAATTTTTGATGTTGACACAAAGCTCAGTTTTCTTAATTTTATTGGTGTCATTCTTTAAGCCCTCATCTCTACACTCCCACAATATGTACTTTTAACTTCTCTTCTAACACTTGTAAATTATGTCATATTTTGTGGAGACATTATCCCTTTTGTAATACAATACCTTCTAGGTAGGAGCTTTCCCTTCAAAATTTGCTATGTCTTATATAGAATAGACATGACATGTATTGGAGGAAGTAGGAGAGGTAGGAAGAAAATCTACAAGGAGGTAAGAGCCAGCAGCTAGAAACCAGGACACAGTATTCCCAGGGACAGTATCTACAGATGTCCCTGATCTCCCCTAATCTAAGTGCCAGCTCCTCCTACTAAGTAATCAGTCTTGATTTGTGTCATTCCTATGTTCATGCTTCTCAAAGCATACATGAAGTCATATTTTTTTCTTCCAAATCCCAGTTTCGTGCAGTATCTCAGATGTGGCCTCATTTCTGTGCATTCAGTGTCTCTCCATATTCTGATAACATCTATCTCTATGCCTCCCTTGTGAACAATAGGTCAGAGTTCAACTGGAAGCTTCTACAGCCTTCCTAGCAGTCCAAAACACAAAGGGAAAAGAATCCTACTGCATCTGTGTAAATGAGCGACAAACCGTCTCTTGGGCTATAACTCCTAAAACTCTGGGTGAGTGTGTTTCCTCCAAAATGTTTGCCCATCAACAAAGGTGGTAGATCTCTGAACACTGCTTACATCATATTCTCTCTTTTGCTACCCACATTGGCCCCCTCCCACTACTCCGATGACATCTGAGCCCCACAATCACTCTCCTTGGGCATTGGCCATTCTGCATGCATCAGCCTTGAGTTTTTTGTTTTGTTTTGTTTTCAGCTTTCTTTCCTATTGCAGCCAACTGTAAGGTTAAAGTGCAGCCCTTTAAGATCATTAAAGAGCATAGTCCTTTTCAGCTATTAGCAATGGTTTGGACTGCTGTCAAGATGAATACTCATATTTTCTGTGTTCTTTGTTTTTAGGGAATGTGAACTTCTCAGTGAGTGCAGAGTCAGTGCAGTCCCTAGAGATGTGTGGAAATGAGCTTGCTGAGGTCCCTGAGACAGGGAGGAAGGACACAGTCATCAAAACCCTATTGGTGGAAGTAAGTCTCTGTCACTTTGACATAGTTTTCTGAGCCCCTAACAGTAGTAACAATAAAAAATAGTATGGACATCCTTGAGATAGCAAAGGATAATTACTATCATGCTCACACAATTCATCTGATAAGACCAATAGAGTTTCCTATCATAAAAGTATGTAAGAAACCTTGGTAGATAAACTTGTTAGCATATTGAAAATAGTTGTTTAATACATTATGTGGATACTTTCCCTTATCTTGATCTCTACCTGTCTTGTAAGGTTCATATATATCTCGTACCTGAATTACATTTGATTTTACGCTCTTATTATATGTCATTTTCCCCTCGGCCAATATCCTAGGTTGTTCAATGCTTTATAGGTTTATAGTAATTTGATAATAAGGATGTTAAACATCATTTAGTGTAAACACCACCCTTCAAAGCAATGAGCCTATGGTTGTCCTTCAGTCACCTGGTTGTTTATCCCTCTTCTCCATTTTTTTCTTTTCACCCAAGCCTGAAGGTATTGAGCAAGAAAAGACTTTCAACTCTATGACTTGTGCTTCAGGTAAAAGTCCATCTTCATAATCATTGTGAGAACAACACCTCACCATGGTATATATTCCAAGTTACCATGCATGTTCATATATATTGTCTCCCATGATTTTCAGAATGTTTCATTCAATTTGGCATAATACTGAGTATATCTTTATATGCTTTTTACAAATAGGAACACTGAGCCCAAGACAGTGGGTTAACATGGCTTGCAGGTACAGAAGACTAATACTGGGACTTGCTTGGTTCAGTTTTAGGCTTACTGCCACAACCCAGTGGCTGCTCATTAACAAGCCAGGATGTAGAAACTTAGAGAATAATGGGACTTGGTAGAAAGAAAGCAGGATCATGATAAGTCTGAATCACAGTTAATATTGTTTAAAATAGTTGACAACAAAACATAAGGTGCTTTCTATTCATTTTACTAAAAATGTGATTCTCATGGCAAAAAACAATAAACAAAAAACCCTCCACTTTAAATTGGGACTTCACCATATCATTAAGAAACAGTTGTAGCTTTTAAGTTACATTGGTACATCAGTATTGGTTCTATGTCCATAGTATATACAACAATGTTCTTGTCATTTAAGAAAGACCAATTTAAGGCATAAAATCAGAGACTAATAAAATCAGAGAATTATACAATCAACTCAGAGAACTATAGATTCCCACCAGCTCCTAGCATTCTTTTAGGGGGCTACTGTGCACAGCAACCAAACATGGCAAAGTGTGAGCAAAAAGACTCAGGAAGTCACATAGTGCCAAGAAAAGCTGGGCTGTTAAAGGTAATCTCATTGTAAGTCAAAATTCTTATTCCTTGAACTCAGGTTTCCTCCAAAAGATGTAATAATGCTACTGCTAAATGTAATGGTAACAATAATAATAATTGCTCACATGTATTGAGATTGAAGATGTTGCAGAGGCTTTTCTAATTCATACGTGTTTTATATCTATTATTTCACTGAATCATCACATGAGCAAGTTAGACTAGGAAGAAGTTAAGCAATTTTTCCAAGTTCCATAGCTAGTAAATAGCAGGGCCAGAATCATACTGAGGCCATGTGGTTCTAAAACCCTGTTCCTAACCACTACATTATATTGCTATAACAGATATAAATTGTCTGTTTCCAAAGGTACTGAAATATCTGAGCAATTATCCCTGAAGCTCCCAGAAAATGTTGTCAAACAATCTGCCAGAGCCTCTTTCTCAGTTTTGGGTAAGTCATCTTGCATCTAGGAAACCTGGGACAAAAGAACTGCCACCATGCATCTTACCTATATATTTATGTTGTAAATATCAACTTATTGATAGTATCTATTTACATAGGGTCCTGGAAGGCTCACTCTCTCTAAATACAAATTTTTCCTTGCCTAAATGATAGAGTATATGACTTTTCAACACAAAAATTATTTGTCTTTAATAATATTGGCTACATATGAATTTAAATTACTCTGACATTTAATCTCATGTTCCCCAGGTGACATATTAGGTTCTGCTCTGCAAAATATACAGAATCTGCTCCAGATGCCCTATGGCTGTGGAGAACAAAACATGGTCCTTTTCGCTCCTAACATCTATGTGTTGAACTATCTGAATGAAACCCAACAGTTGACCTCAGAGATCAAGTCTAAAGCCATTGGCTATCTCATCAGTGGTAAGTGAGACAACAAAGTTTACTGTGTTACTCTAATGAGTTTTTCTCACTAAGTGTGCAATCTATCACCAGACTTTAAGCTAATATGGTGATTTTTGTAGAAATTAAAAGTTTCCCACCATCTAATACGATGTTGCATTCTGACATATCCACAATAGCCATGAAACTAGGACAGATCCTACACATGAAACTGCCAAATGTCAGTGGCATCTGTATACATCAGCTTGCACCTACAGATACCCTGCCTTTCTATAATACTTCTTAAATTTTTTTAACCTTTTTTTCCAGGATACCAGAGACAGCTGAACTACAAACATCAAGATGGTTCCTATAGCACATTTGGGGAGAAATATGGCAACCAACAGGGCAACACATGGTAAGAAAAGAAAATCATTCTGAGTTCCAACTATGAGTTCAAAGTATGTACATAGAGGATGGGGCAAAAAACTAGATTTATATTTGCTCATATGGAAAATAATACGATAATTAATAATAATATAAGAATAAATTTTTGTGTACTCATTACTATAAATCTACTTTTGTAACTATGTATATTAGCCTATTTAATTTTTATGACAATCCTGTGAAGTGAGAGCTCTTAGCTTCATTTTACAGAGGGGGAAGTGACATCCATTGTGGATAAATAAATGTCTCTAGTACAAACAATGAGTAAGTGGCAAAACTGAGGAGACTTTGAAGATTCTTTTTATATCCAACACACCAAGCCTCCCTTCTTTCTCATGTTGCTAAAGGAACATAATAAGTTTGTGATCTGCCCTCATAAGTTGTTGATCAGTGCTGAAGGATGCTAAAATTGACTAGAAAAATGTCAGCCATTACTCATAGTGTGTGCTTTACCACCTTCTACTGGATGATCCTCTGGCTCTATCTATCCATCTGTCTCACTATCTATCTCACTATTTATCTCACTATCTATCTATCTATCTATCTATCATCTATCTATATTCACTAAGTTAGACCACTCCTCCAAAAAAAAAAAAGAGGAAATCAAGGACCCTAAAAGTAGTGAAGAGGCAGGATGACATAGAGGAAAATATTTACTGAAGCAGAACATTAGAAGAAGCCAGTCCAATAGAAGGGTAGCTACAGAATACAAAATAAGACATCAGTGGAAAGAAATATAGAAAGTACAGAATGTGAGAGCAAATATCTTAAACACGCAAGAGAACTAGGAGAAACCTAAATCTCTAAAGTGATGCAGAAATGCTTTCAGAAGCAAGAATTCTTGGCAGTGCATTTAACAACATGCCACAGCAAAACTATATATGGACATAGATGATATAGATAGATATAGATGATACAGATAGAGATAGACATAAATAGATAGATGATAGAGATGATAGAGATAGAGATAGAGATACAGATAGAGATACAGATAGAGATAGAGATGATAGAGATAGAGAGAGCCAGGTTAACAGAAAAAGTTTCCAAACTCAATAATAGCTTTTTGATTCTCATGAGGGTGAATTGGTAGGAGAGGGGGTCTTATGTGTTCAAAACAGAACATTAAGGTGCTGTATGAAAAAAAAATGGCCCCAGCATGCCACTCTTCTTCACTTTTCAGGCTCACAGCTTTTGTACTGCAGACTTTCGCCCAGGCTCGACCTTACATCTTCATTGATGAAGCACACATTACTGGAGCGCTCACCTCGCTGTCCCAAAAGCAGAAGGACAATGGCTGTTTCAGAAGTTCTGGGTCACTGCTCAACAATGCCATGAAGGTAAAGAGTTGTGAGTGCTTATCCTAAACTTCATGATACATCAATATTAACATTTTTCCAAGAGCGAGGCAGAAAGAAGACGCAGAGAAATTGCAAAGATGAAGTCCAAGGTAACATGAGAGGACATCCAGGAAGGAGTATTAAACCTGAAAAAAGAATTATAAAGATAAAGAAATGGTGCTTTGCATGAGGGTGTTACTTTGTTTGATAGAAAAGATACTGAGGACAATTTGAATAAAAAAAAACAGGAGAGAATATACTAAAATTAGAAGTCAAATTAATCAAGTACAATTAATCAAATTATCCCTCTCTCTCTCTCTCTCTCTCTCTCTCTCTCTCTCTCTCTCTCTCTCTCTCTCTCTCTCTCTCTGTTTACAGGGAGGAGTGGAAGATGAAGTGACCCTATCTGTCTACATCACTATTGCTCTTCTGCAAAGTGCTCTTCCAGTCACTGTAAGACCCACCTTATTCCCATTTCTTACCCTGAAAACTCCAGACCTGATGTTTGGAACACCACCCTAATAAAAGCCAAGTCTCTTTGTGCAGTGATGAGGCATTTCTCAGCTAGATGAGCTCTTCAGTCAGTCCATCAAGGGGAATTTATACTTGTACAGTAATGCCCTTGGACTATGTACTAAAACTAATCCTAAAACATGGGTTCTCTAGCCTTATTTTTTGAGAACTACCTATAAAGTTAAGAGATTTAAAATGTTTCTCAACATAAGTACAGTGGGCATTTGCTTGCTCCATCCTCTGCTTATCCTAGTTTGATACCATCACCTCTTTGTCTTCACAGCATCCTGTTGTGCAAAAGGCCCTGTTGTGCCTGGAGTCTGCCTGGAACACAGTGAAGGAGGGGACCGGAGGAAGCCACACCTACACCAAGGCATTGTTGGCCTATGCTTTTGCCCTCATGGGAAACCAAGATAGGAGAAGAGAAATACTGAACTCTCTGGATAAGGAAGCTGTAAAAGAAGGTGAGAGCAAACAGTAAAAAAAAATTTTTTCCTTCCACTTACACGGGTTCTTTAAGAAGAGAAGTATATTCCTGCCAAAAGCAACAAGGTTAGTCTTGAATTCTTTAGCCAAGTCATGTGTTTTGAGATCAGAGCACCTTTTATAAAAATATCTTGTCTGTGATTGCATATGTTATACCATACAGACATAATGCTGCAGGCAAATTATGGAATTTTGTTCCTACCTGCTGAGACCAAAATATTAAACAAGTATTTATTAGATATGTGTAGAAAGAGAGAGGGAAACCAACACTGGCACTGACATGGGCTGCCTATCTGGCAACATATGGAGCTCACCAGGCTGACAGAGCAGCTGTGTGCCCCAGGGACTGGGTCTCTGGGGACCCAGTTCTCTGAGCTCCTCCTTAGTGCCCCCTCCACCCACCAGACTTCACATCTTACTCCAGATGTGCCTGCTGCCTTGGGAGGTCCTGCTTCCCTTCCCCTAGGGCAAGATGCCCATCCTCAAGCAGCTGGAGCCCAGCACAGTGCACTCCAACAGCTGCTAGTGCCTGGATCCAAGATGATCAGTGCCCCATTGGGTGAATTCTACCACACCATGCACGTGGGCCAGGCAGAGGATGCCTTTGGGGACACCTTGTTCCTCAACAACAAGACTGGTGAGCTGGACAGTGAGTTCCTGGATGAACAGGAGTCATCCTCATCATCCAAATGCAGCCTCCTGTCTCAGAAGTTTCTGGTCAGCAAGCTGGTGCTTTCCCAGCTGATAAGGGCAGATAAAGTGCTTCCCAGATAAGGTCAAGTTAAAGGAGTTCATAATCACCAAGCCTTTATTATATGAAATGTTAAAGGGACTTATCTAAGAAAAAGATCAAAACTATGAATAGTAAAATGACAACAAACTTACAACTATCATCAACTGAACCTAAAAAAAAAAAAAAGATAAGTAAACAACTAGAACAGAAACAGAATCACAGAAGTGGAGATCACATGGAGGGGTTATCAGTGGGCAGAAGGAGGGGGAAAAACAAGGGAAAAGGTAGAGGGAATAAGAAGCTTAAATGGTAGGTACAAAATAGACAGGGAGAGGTTAAGAATAGTATGGGAAGAGGAGAAGCCAAAGAACTTATTTGTACACCCAAGGATGTGAACTAAAGGGGGAATGCGTGTGGAAGGAGGTATGCAGAGTGGAGGGGGAGAAAAGGGAAGAAAAAAATGGACAACTGTGGTAGCATAATCAATAAAATATACTTTAAGTTTTTTTAACAAAAATTTAAAAATAGAACATGTATAAATATATTTTACATAAGTGCCTACATACTTAGATGAAAAATGGTTGAACAAAAAGCCATACTGAAGAAAGTACAATAACATTTTCAAAGTGATTTTATCTCATTTTTGTGAGATAAATTATTACAAAAGTCCTCTGAGATTAATAGGTAGGTTTTATTTTTATTTTATTTTTCAATTACAGTTTATATTTAATATCATTTTATATTAGTTTTAGGTGTATAGCATAGTAATTAGACAGTCATATACTTTACAAAGCAGTCCCACTGATATTTCAAGTGTCCTTCTGGCACTGTACATAGTCCTTAAAATATTGACTGTATTCCTTATGCTGTACTTCACTACCCTGGAACTATTTTATGACTAAAAATTTGTAGTTATTAATAGCTTCACTTTTCTCATGAGCCTCTCAACACCCTTCTCCTCTGGCAACAGTCAGTCTGTTCTCAGTAACTATGAATCTGTTTTAATTTTGTTTATTTGTTTACTTTGTTCTGTAGATTCCACATATCAGGGAAATCATACAGTATTTATCTTTCTCCGACTGACTTATTTCACTTAGCATAATGTTCTCTAGGTCCATCCATGCTGTTGCAAATGGTAAAATTTCATTTCTTTTTATGGCCGAGTAATATTCCATTGTATCTATGTACCACAGCTTTTTTTATCCACTTGTCTATTGATGGACACTTGGGTTCCTTCCATATTTTGGCTATTGTAAGTCATGCTGCAATGAAAATAGGGATGTATATATTCTTTTGAATTATTGATTTGGGTTTCTTCAGCTATATTCCCAGAAGTGGAATCCCTGGGTCATAAGACAGTTCTATTTTTAATTTTTTGAGAACCCCCCATACTGTTTTCCACCATGGCTGCACCAGTCTTCATTCCCACCAACAATGCATAAGGGTTCCTTTTTCTCTACATCCTTGCCAACATTCCTTTGTTGATTTTTTAGTGATAGCCTTCTGACAGGTACAAGGTCATATCTCACTGTGGTTTTAGTTTGCATTTCTCTGATGCATAGTGATGTTGAGCATCATTTCATGTCTATTGACCAGCTATATGCTCTCTTTGGGGAAATGTGATAAGTAAGCTTTATATCAATTTATACTCCAGTTCCCAGGAAATATAACAAACAATTAAAGAATGCTGTCTGTCACTTTTCTTTTCAACCAGTCCAATAAAAAAAAAACATTTGAGAGATTGCTAAGTGTACACTATGCTTATTCCTCCAACAGCATTCTCCACTTTAGGCCCACAGGACTAAACCAAGTTCAGCAATGTAATGTAAGCTAGTGGGTTTTGAGGAATTACGACAGAGAGGGCCTTACTTCAGCTCAATATTGCTTTCTATATGATATGAATGCATATATCTACCAGTAGTTATAATTCTCTCTTTTCTCACCCTCAAGATAACTCAGTCCACTGGGAGCGATCTCAAAAACCCAGTGCAACAGAAAGTTATTTTTACCAGCCCCGTGCACCCTCTGCTGAGGTGGAGATGACGTCCTACGTGCTTCTTGCTTATCTCACTGCTCAGCCTGTCCCAAGTTCAGAGGACCTGACTTCTGCATCACACATTGTTAAGTGGATCACAAAGCAACAGAATTCTTATGGGGGCTTCTCCTCTACCCAGGTTTGTGCTTCCCAAGTAATCTTCTCCTCCAGGTTCACTTGGCACTTAGGAAGTTTGAAAACAGACCAGTTACACAGAAAAGAGAAGATACTAAATAAATCATTAAATCTTGGAAGAAATTTAGAGATATTTGAGAACAGTAGGAAAATAAAGGAAAAAGACCTGAGACATTCCCCTAAAACAATTTTCACTAAGCCCTATGTTATCCTATCACTTTGACTACCTAACCATCTCTAAAGCCGTAGCATATCGTTAGCACACATTGGTCGATAGCCACACTATAGACCAGAGTTTCTGAATATCAATACTGTTGACATTTTGATCCAGATAATTACAGTTGTGAGGGGCTGTCCTGTCCATCGGAAGATGTTTAACAGCCCCTTGGTCTCTCCCCACTAGATGCCAGTAGCACACTACTTCCATTTGTCTTGAGACAAGACAAAAATCAACTCTGGTTTTGAACAAGTATTCTAGACTATAGACTACATTTTTAGAATCCTGCAAAAGATTCTCTAAGGTGGACCAGAATATTGTGTGATTAAAAGGAAAGTGGCCACATCGACCCTATTTTGATCTTCATAGAATGATTGACAAGTTCTATTTAACCACTCCAAGAAATTCAGACTTTCTACTCTTTTCTAACTACCCTGAGACCTCCCTTTTTACTGCCCCTTTAAATTAATTGTTTTTAAGCTGAAGCTCTTAAATTATTTTCCCTACCACAATTCTGAAAATATTTTGTTGAGTGTAAAAATGTGTTAAACATCCATAGAGTATGAGTTGTTCCTCTTTTACATCCTCCTTCAATATTTAGGATATAGATAATGAAACTTGTTTTTTAGGGATATTATATGGGACAAATAAAAATCTATATAAAGAGAAAAGGAAACTTAGGAAAGTGCAACTTGTCTTTTACTACACTTTTTATTCACAGACTATTTTTCTCATTCTCCCATCTAAACAACCATCTAGTAAATGACAGTCACTTTTTTTGTCTTAGCTTTTCCTTTGTAAACCTATACTTTGAAAGATATAGAAAAAAGATCTGTTGATGAGAAAGAGTAGGGCACAACTGGGTACAGAAAAAGTCCCAAGGACAATACAAACACAAGTGAAATTAAATTGTGAGGTTAATTTGCATCAGTAATCCCTTACTTCATTTGGAGAAACTGTAGCATGACTTTGATTATATCTTAAAGGCAGAGAAAAAAGAAAAGCAATTAGCCTTAAGGGGGGAAAACCAGTGTCCCCTTGTGATAGCTAATGCAGACTTTTGAGGAAAACCCCAGCCACCAAAAGCTAACTGGGTGCGGGTTCTCCATTCATCTCTTGCAGGACACAGTGGTGGCTCTCCACGCCCTGTCTAGATATGGAGCTGCCACTTTCACCAGGAGTCAGAAAACTGCTCAGGTGACCATTCGCGATTCACAGACATTTTCCACAAAACTCCAAGTGGACAGCAACAACCTCCTGTTACTACAGCAGGTCTCCTTGCCAGAGGTACCTGGAGAATATGTCATAACAGTGACTGGAGAAAGATGTGTGTATCTTCAGGTGAGACTCTGGAGTTATATGGGAAAAAGTCAACTAAATTTAACCTCTTCTGTTGAAAAGGGAGTACCCCCAAAAAATGGAGAAACTAATGGTGTCCTTGGTGCTCCACAGACCTCCATCAAATATAATATTCTTCCTGAGAAAGTAGACTCCCCATTTGCTTTGGAGGTGCAGACTCTGCCCCAAACTTGTGATGGAGTCCAAGCCCACACCAGCTTCCAGATCTCAGTGAATGTCAGGTAAGGCCTTCTCTATATTAAAAAAAAAAATTAATTCTGTAATTATGATGATAAATTTTAATTTGATTTACTATAGTGATCATTTTGCAATATATACAAATTGTGAATCCTTGTGTTGTATACTGGAAACTAATATAATGTTAAATGTCAATTATTTCTCAATTAAATTTTTAATTAAAAAACAAAAAACCTTCCGACTGAATCTTCTAATCCTGGGATCTAAAAGCTACTTGGAACCATCAGTAATTAATAATGTATTTGGAAGTTATTAGATAAATATAAATTAAAATTAATATATCTATTAGGAAGTTAGTTTTTTATCATTATTAAATGATCTTTTTCTCTAGTAAAATGTTTATGTTAAAGTTTCAATAATTCTTCAAAGCACTTAAAAGCAATGTATAGTCTTAAATCTGTCAATAAAAAAATTTTCAAATGTTCTAATCAATTCTGACTTATCTTTTACACTAATTTTTATTGAACTTATTGCTAAAGAATAAATTACTTTCCTCAAATATTTTTACTTTAAGTTGAAATAAACCTTTCTAACCTCTTCTGAATGATTATATTCTATCTTATTTTTAGTCAAATGAATAAATAATAAATGCTAATATTAAATACAAAGTATAAATTTTGTATAACATATAGACATTTCCCTATCATAAACCATCAAAAAACTTTGCATGAGTCCTAAGAAAACATAGCCCAAATGATATTGCTTTGTCTCTAATACTAATGACATCAATATTATAAAACAAAAGATATTTCAGACAACCAAACCAATTAAACATCAATTTAATCAAAGTATAAAGCATAAAAATCTATCTAACCTCACATTTTTGAGCCACTTTGGAAAGACATGATACATTCAAGTTAACTAAAAATATAAATTAAGACATATCAAATAACAAATAAGAATATAAATGTATTCAAAAGCAGATTAGCAGGCTACACACCCAAAGATTCTGTTTTGATAGTTTGAGACTGGGGCTTGAACATCTGTGATTTTAGTAGGCTGTAGACCTAATGTACATACAGGGTTCTAAATGTCACTATCATACATGTCCCGGAAACACAGACCTCTGTAGGTATAATCTCAGGGAAAACTTCATGAAGATGGACAGGTTGATGGTAGATCTTGAAGGAGGATATCTGGCTTTCTTTCACATGATAAACCCTACCACCTTTTCTCTTTGACACTACAGTTACAGAGGGAGCCGCTCTGTCTCCAATATGGTGATTGTGGATGTAAAGATGGTATCTGGTTTTATTCCCTTGAAACCAACAGTAAAAATGGTAGGTGGATTTTAAGCCTACTGGATCTCATATAAAAAGACAGTCTGTATCTTTAAACTGAGACCATACCAATATCAAACGCCTATCAATATCATCCTGCCTCAACAAATACTTTTCCCAAACCCAGGAAATTAAATTCATTAACTACTTATTTGGCTCTAAGCTAAGGGACCTTTGTGATGCTAGAGAAATACAGGGGAATCCCTATCTTTTGGCCATTCATGGTGTAGTTAAAAAATTAAAGCACATGGGTATGAGACAGTAAAATAACAAGCAAAAAAAGAGACTATGATTCAGTACCAAATTGATATTCACAAAAAAATTGGCAACAATAAAACTAATGTGAGCTAGAACCATCAAAGATGCCAGAAGGTCTAATAGGTTACTTGGATACTGAAACATAGTGAAAATCTCGACCTGAAAATATCTGGCTTCCTCCTCTTGATAGAAAGCCACGAGATGTTTTTCACAGTCAAGACATGACAGTGATGAAGCTTATTTGAAAAATGTTATTCCCTCTCCTCACCCATCTTTTGCGTGGTTACTGCACCTTGACTCTTTAACCATGAAGATGATGAATAGACATCCTAGCCCTCACAGTATTTAAAGAGTAAACATTTGTCCCTTACCACTCAATCCTAGATCTATGTTCTCATATCTATTGTCTAACTCCCTGAGTTCTCTAATTTTCTTCAGCTTGAAAGATCTAGCCACGTGAGCAGGACAGAAGTGAGCAATAACCACGTCATCATTTATGTGGAAGAGGTGAGAGCTCTGACATTTCGGCCGAGACTATACACATCGGTGGTCTTTCTAAGTGGGTCTCTTCACTAAAACATAATTAATGTGAGCAAAACAATACTTAGAAGCTCCATTCCAGGAAGTTATTCTATTCTAAAGAGAACAAAAGGTAAATTTCCTTTTAAATCCACAGAATGTTCTGCTCTCTTTTTAATTATGTTACAATTGGAATATGAGTATTTCAATGATTTCCAGTATAAAATCAGTAGAATAAAATACTATCATGTGTGTTATTTTAAAGACCCACTAAGAGCCCTAGCTGATAGGCTACCTAGCCGTAGCTGGTAGCTCAGTAGATTGGGCACCAGCCTGCGAACTGAAAGGTTGCTGGTTCCATTCCCAGTCAGGGCACATGCCTGGATGGCAGGCCAGGTCACCACTTCAGGTGTGTGAGAGGCAACAATCAATGTTTCTCTCCCTCTCTTTCTCCCTACCTTCCCCTCTCTCTAAATATAAATAAGTAAAATATGTGTATATATAAAAAACCCACTTAAAAAGAATAAATATACCACTGTGGTTAATTGATAGTGTTAATACCCTGATATATTACAATATAAAATGAAATTAAATGTAGACCTCATGAATATCCTCAAATTCAACTGTAAAGCCAAGGGAATGGTTTACACAAACAAAACACACACTCAAAAAGTCTTGTTGGTATTATAATTACAGACAGTAAAAAGCCATGTCTCTGCATGTTAGAAAACATTCACATAGACTCAGAGAGTCAGTTTCTTACGGAGGACTACAGTAGCATATGAATTGTCTCAGTTGTTTAAGAGAATATCTGGGAGATTTTGTTCACTAAAGAGTTTAAAGGTTGCCTTTTAAACCCACCTTGAGAACCACAAATGTTTGCTTACCTGAAAGACACAGGTAAATAAGAGTCAGAGAATAATAAAGAATATGTTTTACTCAAGGAAGAAAGAGGAGGGTTTCTAGCCTCTTTATGACTCCATTTTTCCTTTTAGGTAACAGATAAGACACTAAATTTTTCCTTCACGGTTCTTCAAGACATCCCAGTAAGAGATCTAAAGCCAGCAATTGTTAAAGTCTATGATTACTATGAAACAGGTAAGTGAGAGAAAATGGAGACAAATAGTCCCAACCCAGACCAAGAAACAGATTCTATTATGACAGTAAATCCTGTTTTTAGACCATGCAGTCAATATTATATCTGTTTCTTTCCTCCAAGATATATACAATAGAAACTACCTATAAACAAATTTATCAGTTAATAGTTATTGAATCAGAAACTTAAGAATTTTATTTAAAGGAAAATATCTAGTGAGTGCTCTCAAATAGTTTGGAGACATAGAGAATATAATACACATGGAAAGACAGTTAACGATGAATGAGTGTTAGGGAGCTAATGGATAAGAAGTTGGGGGAGTGAAAACAGCACAGAAGGCTAGTACTTAAGATGGACAAACAAAAGAGAAAACAGAAAGTCAAACTAAGGAAGAAAGATGTGAATTGGATCCTAACAGATGAGAACATCTTCTAAAGTAAATAGGAGGTGTTTTAGGCTAGAGCAATAATCTTAGAAAAGGGATTCAGAAAACAAGCTGGACAGAGTAGAAGCAGTTTGTGGAAGAGAGAAAGAGCTACAAGCTAATGCTTAGATCATCTTCCTAAGAATTTAAAATTTGAATAGCTGCTATCGGAACAGGCTTCAATCCTTCTCCTCTACCCCAGAGGAGGGAAAATATAGATATGTAAACTATTCTGTTCAACTCTGGTCTATTTAAATGGTGTTTTAACAATCCTGCTATGGATATGGACTGTTAAAACTCCATTTGAATAGACCTAAAAATCCTGAAACACCAGTTCAAAAGAACCTATGCACCCCAATGTTCATAGCAGCACAATTTACAATAGCCAAGTGCTGGAAGCAACCTAAGTGCCCATCAGTAAATGAGTGAATCAAGAAACTAGGTACATTTACACAATGGAATTCTATGCAGCAGAAAGAAAGAAGGAGCTCCTATCCTTTGCAAAAGCATGGATGGAAATGGAAAGCATTATGCTATGTGAAATAAATCAGGTAGTGAAAGACAAGTACCATATGATCTCACCTTTAACATTAAACTAATCAACAAAATGAACAAGCAAGCAAAATATAACCAGAGACACTGAAATAAAGAACAAACTGACAGCAATCAGAGGGGAGGTGGGAGGGGATAATGGGGGAAAATAGGGAAGGGCCATCAAGGAACATGTATAAAGGACACATGGACAAAGCCAAAGGGAGTAGGTTTGAGGGTGGGAGGCAGGGATGAGTGGGGCAGGGAGGATTGGGGTGGGAGGAAAATGGAGACAACTGTACTTGAACTACAATTTTAAAAAAATCCTGATGCACTTTTTGCCAAAAGAAAAGTGAATAAACCCAATATGGCCTCTGGTTCATTGATTATTTTTGTTTCCCTCTCCACCTAACTCTTTCAGATGAGTCTGCTACTGCTGAGTACATCGCTCCTTGCACCACAGGTAAGGGGTCACATGCCATGACCAACATCATACCCCATTAACTTTGCTCCCTAAACATTCTTCTAAATTTAAAATTCCTTACAAGTCTCTACCTAGATCTGAAACAATTCATGTGGCATATTCTCACACAAAGAGAGCCCTGAAGAAGAGTATTTATTCTGTAGGCAGACTCTCTAACTTAAGATAACCATTCTGTTATCACAAAAATCAGTAAGTTTTATTTGTTTGTAGGATAGCCATCACTAATGAGCAACATTTCACATCACAGCTAATTGGTTTCTTTCATCCCAAGGGCCAACTATTATTATTCTCTTGCCTAATCTAACCCCACATCTATTTTTATAAGTGAAGTTCTATTGGAACAGGGCCCCACTCATTATATCACTAGTTGCTATGGCTGCTATCATGAGCTGAGTAGCTATGATATAAACCATATGGTCTGCAAAGCCCAAAACATTTAGCATCTGGCCTTTCACAGAAAAAGTTTGCTGACCCCTCCTTTAGCCCACAGTCACTACCCCAACTCAACTAAGGGAGTATTCCTGAGAAACCCCACAACCCTCTTATGTTTCTTTTCCCACCATAGGTGCAGAACAAGAAAATGTTTGAGGACCGTATTTAGGCTACATAGTTTGGTGGATTCACTGTCCTGTACTTCTATTTAGAAGAAGTCAAGTTGTTCATTTCTGTAAAGCAGACATCAAAATGGCTTATTGAATAAATATATATTTCTGGTCAAGCCATTATTTGTTCCATCATTCATTCATTAAACATTAATTGCATGCTTACATAAGAGTTACATTGTTTTAAATAATGTATGTAAAGAGTATAAATTTGTAACATATCTGCTTGTATTCCAGCTGTGAATATAATATATAAAGTCAAATAGACAATAACTGAAAATAACTTACCCTCTGAAAGACCTTCCTCTAGGAAGCTGGGGAGAAATGTGCTGATTAGAAACTAGGAAGGCATAAATATTTCTTCAGAGAAAACAGAAAATATTTGTCTTTGTCCCTAAGCTAATAGAACAAAATGGACTTCACAAGAGACCAAGCTGATTAAAGTTAAACAGTGTCTTGGAGACAGACAGCATTATGCAGTGGTTTAAGTCTAGATACTGGAGCCAGACTGTCTAGATTCAAATGCCAACTCCATCCCTGCCTCACCATTTGAGTGACTAGGGCAGTGACTTAGACTTTCAGCTTCAGCTTTCTGACAAAGAAATGGGGATAATAACAGACCCTACCTCAAACTATTTTGAGGACAAACTATTCTGTTGGAAGCGGGGAAAGAGAATAGCTGGATCAGGCAATGGCTCTTAAAGCTTCAGCTCAGATGAGATGTATGTCATATCCATTTACATTTCTATTGGCTAAAGCAACTCACGTGACCAACCCTAGCTTCAGTTGCAGGTTTGGGGCAGTGTAACTCTCCCCACAAGGAAACACACAAGCCTCATAGCAATGTAAAGCAACATACAGTTCTCTTACAGGAACAATAGTAAATAATTAAGAAAAATAATACAATAACACACAGAGGTAAAGTACAGATAAAAATCTATCCAATTGTCCCAGCAGCTTTTATTAAGCAGTTCATCTCCAGCATACTAATTTGAAAAACCACTTTTATCACACCCTACAGCCTAAGCCATATTCCCACATGTTTTTGATGGGCACTTCTGGGAACTTCTAGTCTGTTTCTTTGGTCTCTCTGTGTATTCATGTGCTAGGACCACACTTGCAACTATCAAGGGTTTACAATGTATCTTAACAGCCCAAAGGACTAGTTCGCACTTCCTGCATATACTTTTCTGAGTTTTCTCAGCTATGTCTTTATTTATTTTTCTATGTAAACTTTAGAATCAGCATTTCTGTTTAAAACAAAAGTTGTATAAATGGTAATGGATGGAGACTTGGGGTGGTGAACACACCATACAGTGCACAGATATGTTGTAGAATTGTGCACCTGAAACCTGTATAATTTTGTTAACAAGTGTCACCCCTACTAATTCAATAAAAAAGAAAATTTAAAAATATATAAAAATGAAAATAAAACAAGTTGGATATTTTACTGTAATCTTCTCAAATATATACAGTAACATAGGGAAAAATTGTTGACTTTTTTAAGATTGACCTCCCTATCCAAGAACAAGGTGTTTTGTGTTTTATTTTTAATTTTCATTTTTTCAAGTCTTCCTGTGTGTGTTTCAGTGCTATTTTAAAGTGTTTTTTTTTTCAGATAGAATATACACATTTCTTGTACTCTTTTTTAGGTAGTTCATTGTATTCTTACTGAAAATGTATATGTGGTCTCTTTATAAAAACTACTTATGAAAATATTTATTATGGACTTTTATTTTATTAAGATATAACTCCTGCACCAAAAAGTGCACAAATATTGATGGCACAGCTTGATGAATTTTTACTTAAGATTAAACCTCAGAAACCATTTTCAGAATCTTAGACAGGACCTCACATGCCCACTCTCAGTCAATACTCCTCTCCACACCCAGGGTAATGAATGTATTCTGACCTGAACAGTCACAGATTAGTTATGCCCATTTGTAAATTTCATACAAATAGAATCATGCAGAATGTATGATTCCCACAAAAGCATGGATTTTGGCCTGGGCCAAAATTTAACTTTAAAAACTATAAAGGAGCTAGAAGAAGACAGAAAAGACATATTGTATAACCCATTATTTTATCCAACTATGAGTTATTATACTGTCAGTTGAAGCAAAACAGTTTTTAGTTATGAAATGAATTTTCCAGGATAGAGAGGCTGAAGCAATAGAGGGTATGCCTACCATACACTTTATGGCGGGGAAATGGCCTGATTCAGTAGAAGAAGCTTTGAGAATAGCCATTACTGGAGCTAGAAAGCCAATTTGTGAGTCTTGATGGCTGAGGGTAATTGGACACAAGGACTCTTTAAAAGAGGGGAGGATATTTTGATAAATAAATGCAAAACAGTTTCAATTGTTTTATAACATCTGAATGAGTTCATCACTCGAATTATATGTTGGAGACATATAACTTTGTGTTTAATTAATGAAATCCAATCTAATCATGACACAAACACAGACAGAGTGAGGAGTGTGGGTGAGCAAGCACACACATGGAGGACGCGCCTCCCCACCCCTGAGGCCAGCAGTGTGAGAAACCACTCTGCTTGGCCTTCTTGTAGACCACAGTCAAATGACACAGTGCTCCACCATGAAAAACTTCAGAAAAATCTTTAAAGATAATCCCCCCAAAAATCTAAATTAGAATATGAGAAAGAATTTGGTAAGGAACAAGAGGTTGCTCAATCACAGGGATTAGATGGGACAATAAGAGGAGGGGCAGGAGGCCAGGTCAGCCAGAACCTAAGAAATGCTCTCCCTAATCCAGGCAATGTTTTTATTTCATCTTCATGTTTTCCACACAGAAGAGAGCTGTGTACTAGTCCCCTTTCCTCAAATGATGTACGTAGTACTACTTATCATTATGCATTTTGATCCCTTTTTCATAAGGTTAAGTATTGCTGACCCATTTTTACATGAGAAATTGAAAAAAATAGGAACAGAGATTAACATATTTTCCCAATATCTCACTGGTTCCAGGAAAACAGTTGTCTGTTAATGCTAATGTTCTTGGTAGAATCCTGGGATTAAAATTCCATATTTCCAGGACCATATTTTCACTTGCACAAACAGAAAAAATAACTGCATGGGGTGGTGATGACATTATCATTACAGACCAAAGAAGAAATTGAGGAGGAAGATAATTTTATCACTGTTTATAAGAACATCATAACCTGGGATCCTACCATTAGAAAGATCTGCATGTTTTTATTCAATAATGTGAGGTTACAGAGATAGCTGAGAATGAGAATTCCCGAAATTCTAATAAGACTAGCCTGCTCTTCCCCTCCCTTTATCTTTTTCTTTCTTCTATTTTTTCAAAAAAAAAGGAACAAAGAAAAAAGTTACAAGCTATAATTTAACTAAAACTATACATGCTCCTTTTTCTTTTCCCAAAATAAGTGAAATATTTCTGTTTTCTAAGCTTTTCTCCCTGACTAACATGGAAGGATAAAGTATTGAAACATTAACTGGTGTTTTGTTTTTACTGATGAAAAGGATTTGGAAAGAATGTGATCTCTGCTGATTCTGATCCTCTGGTATTTTTCCCTTTCCTCTTTCAAAAGTGTAGCCAAACCCTTGTGTTCTTTTGTCTTAAGAATTTTCAAGGTTAGAAGCAGAGATAGCTTTAAAATAACTTTGTGAAAGCCCCGGTTCCTTGAGCAAATTATTCTAGGCTCTCCTGAAGAATGGAAAGAAATCTTTTATAGGGAACTAAGAACAGAAGCCTAGGTGGCAGGAAGAATCCACCAGGAGGTGAATGGAGGTTTGTAGGGCCTGGGATAGTGGCACCTGGGGTCCCCTTCATCATTGCACCCAGAGGAAAAGACAGGACCTCTGAGTTAAAACATTGTGTGAGGCAGACTCTGGGTCAAGAACTCCCGAAGAGGGCAAACATTCCTGTGTCCAAATATAGTGTAAAAGAAACCAAGCAACCAGATTTCAAAGTAGTTGACAGGTTGGACAATGGCATGGTGATATTAGGAGTAACCCGTTTCAAGCAAAGACTAAAACAATCTTACAAAATATTTTGCTTTACAAACCCAGTGTGAGGAAAGCTGTAACAAAACCTAAGATCTAGGCACCAAGACAAAGAAATATGGCCCAAATGAAAGAACAGATCAAAGCTCCAGAAAAAGAGCTGAGAATCTAAGAATTCTCTGGAGTCTAAAATTGTGACCATTTGAAAAAAATTTAGGACTCATCCAACTTTTCCAATCACTTTGTTTTCCTTAAAATGTTTTGATTTATGGGGTGTTTTTTTATGGTTAGCAGTCACATGGCTCAAATACTAGGACATATACAAAGATACACAGTGAAAAATCATCTTCTCACCCTTGATCCTAATTTACCCACTTCTCATTCTCACTGACCAACCCCCCACCCAACCAGGCAACTTTTTCTTAGCATTTTATGTAATTTTTTAAGCTTTCTTTGTTGACACCCCAACAAATATTATTATCAATTCTTATTTCTATCATAACATAAAAGGTAACATAAACATACTTTTTTATTTTAATGTAGTATCCTTAGACATGCTTTCACATCAGTGCATAGAGATTTTCTTTTTTTTTTCCCCGGAGTTTCTCAGCATTACATTGTATGGGTGTCCTATAATGTACTAACTAGCTCCCTATTGATGTAAATTTGAGTGTTTCCAGACTATTGTACTACAAACAACTGAAGTGAATAACCTTGAACATAATCTTTTCACAAGGTGCTAGTATGCCAGTAGACTGAATTCCTGGAAATGTAATTAGAAAGCTTAGAGTCAAATGATTTGTGTAATTGTGGGATTTTTCTTTTTCTGTTTTTGTTATTGAGTTTTCATAGGTTACATATTTTGTATATATTGACATATTGCCAAATAGTATTTTTTGTTCAGCTGACTTACTGAGTTCTCTTATTTTACAAAGTGGTTTCTTGGTTGATTCTCTTGTACTTTCCATGTATAAAATTACTTCACTTTCAAAATCATTTTACCTTTTCCCTTTATACTTAATATCTCTATTTTATTTTATTTTTATTAGTAGAAATCTGTTGGACAAACTTAAAAAAAGAAGTAAAGATAACATTTTTGTCCTGATTTACTGTAAATAATGTTTCCTTATT